GGCTGTGAAATCTACTAGCAGATTTTTGGATAAGAACATCAGAAATGGAAAATATCCCTGTATGACTGTGTTTTTTCAAACCTGGCAACTTTAAGATGTGTGGACTTCAACTCCCAGAATTCTCCAGCCAGCATGCTGGAGAAACTTTGCAATCAATGCCTCTCCCCCTCCCCAAACTGTAGTGAAGTGTAAACAAAAGACACTCTGCCAAAGTTTAATAGCAAATATCAAAATAGCCCAATAAAGCACCAACAGATCTTTACCAGGCTATGCTTTGAATCATCATCACATACTATTTGTACAATATTCAGACATTAGTTAATGATGACAATCACTCAGTCAAACAAACTCATCCAGATCAAATCAACTGGAAGTCTAGAGCACAGAAAATCCAGATACTTCAGAAAATATTAGGAATCAGATGCTCACTATCTTGCAGGAACTGTACAAATGTTTGTGTCTTATTTAGCATCCATAGCACCCAGTTGCAAGAAACAGTCCCCTCCATAAACCAGATCATCTAATATTAGCATTTAAACCAGTGGTGGGTTCCTCCTGGTTCTGCCTGGTTCCGCCGAGCTGGTAGCAGTGACGATATGACATCACTGAACCGATTCTGTTCCCCCGCCCCCCTGCGTTATTCTTATCTTTTATTTGGCCCCACCCCCAATCTATTGCTGCCTTCTGAGTCCCAGCTGATTGGCTAGAAGGAAAAATCTGTTTAAACTCTTGCCGCAGGGCTTCAAAGGGCCACCCTACAGCTGATCAGTGTTAAAAAGCAGTGTGGTGGTAGACCGGTGCCTCCAAAAACAAATGAGTAGACCGGTGCCTGCAAAAATAAATGGGTAGACCAGTGCCTCCAAAAATAAATGAGTAGATCGGTGCCTCCAAAAACAAATGAGTAGACCGGTACAGCTCTGCAAGCAGTTAAAAGCCTGGTAGACCAGTACCTCTGCTAAATCCTAAAGAATTGTCACATGACCATCAAGCCACACCTACAAAATAAGCCACACCCACAGAACCGGTAGTAAAAATTGTTAGAACCCACCCCTGATTTAAACTGATGTAGACTGAAAGCTCATGAATAAACTGAAAACTTTATGCAGACAGTCCTTGATTTACAGCTGGTTGATTAGCAACTTTCAAAGTTACAACCTACCTGAAAAAGGGACTTACCACCCAGATTGGAAATCATGAGGTTTCGGCGCTCAGCAACATAGCTGCAGAGGTGGTATTCAGCAGGTTATGACCAGTTCTGGAGAACCAGTAGCGGAAATTTTGAGTAGTTTGGAGAACCAGTAAATACCACCTCTGACTGGCCCTGCCCCCATCTATTCTCTGCCTCCTGAGTCCCAGCTGATCAGGAGGAAATGGGGATTTTACAGTATCCTTCCCCTGCCATGCCCACCAAGTCACACCCACCAAGCCATGCCATGCCCACCAAGCCACACCTACAGAACTGGTAGTAAAAATTTTTGAATCCCACCACTGCATAGCTGGACATATAGTCATTTGCAGCATCCCATGGTCATGTGATCACACTGGTTTTGCTGAAAACTGGTACTTCCGTGTTTTGGCAGAACCATACCATAGCAAACAATGGATTCACATAATGACTATGGCATTCGCTTAGCGGCTGCCATAAGAAACTTTTTAAAATTGGGTTCATTACCATCTTGTTTTATATCCATAACAATTTATGACCATAATCGGCAGGCTCCATTACTGCCATAACTCAAGGACTATTTGTATGTAAGATCTGAGTTTATTTCATTGGATTCAATACATATATAGCCCTTGTAGCTGTTCACATATTACCATTATCCTGCAAGAGACTGAAGAACTAGATTGCAAATAATTATACATTAAAATAAATATATTTAAAAATTAAAAATTCAGCTTAAAAATACATATAATGAACTAATTAGGATTTGGTTTCATCCCTCCCTCCCCACTAACCAATTGATAATTTCAGAACAGCTAAGCTCTACATCAAGGGTGTCAAACTCGATTTCATTGAGGGCCGCATCAGAGTTGTGTTTGACCTTGGGGGGGGCAGGGGGGGCGTGGCTGGGGGGGCATGACCAGCTAGATGTCACTCATGTTGGAGCATCTGTGGTGGCCTGAGCACTCTGCCAGTGAAAACAGGCCCCTGAGCTCCGTTTTCGGCTGCAATGTCTTCCTGCAACCCTCTGTCAGCTAAAATGGAGCTTGGGAGGGCCACCTGCAGTCCTCCCGAGCTCCATTTTCACTGGCAGAGGCACCCCAGGCTGGTCCTTTGCTGTTTCCAGGGCAGCCCTGCAGGTCAGGTCTAAGCACCCTGCGGGCCGGATCAGGCCCCCGGGCCTTGAGTTTGACACCCCTGCTCTACATGAATTCAAGATAAACTCTTAAGATGCACTATATCTCATGTTGGGTTGCAGTCTCATGGTCAAGAAACAGCTTCCTGCTCTGTTCCTTAAGTCCCTTCACACATACTAAAATGGATGTATGTCTTTTGTTTCTGTGAAGTTCAATGTTCTACTCTTGTATCTTGCAGGGAATAAGAAACGTGTTATTAACTAATAACATGCAAGCAATTCTTCCTTAGGTTTTTTTTAAACCATTATTTCACACATAATAAAAAAAGTAACAATTGCAGGAGGTTTAGCTAAATTAACCCACTAATCTTTTTACAGTTCCTTTCATGCTTTATTAGTTGTGCTTGTGCAATACGGGAATTTCTAGTAAACGTTCTGTGCCCTTTTAATCCTAAACTATATGACTTTTCCGGTTCCGAAAACAATGGCTATTGAATGATTAAACGTGCAGCACTTTTTCCATTCAGTTGTACTATCCCTTATATCACTTGCATGTGTGGGTGAGGAAATATGTGAATTCTTGTTGACTCATGTTTGTTTTATGTTGTCATAGCACGTAGATTTACTTTTTTGTATACTTAATGTGCTCAAGTTTTCTTCAGAATCCCTGAGCATCTATCAACATGTCTCAGCAATGATAGCTTCCTAATTATTTTCTGAATGTGTTTTGGGGTTTTGACTTATTCTGTCAATATATATTTTGGACAGATTTGCAGACTGACTACTTTAGTGTAGCTATTTATCAAACATTTTCTTACCAATCTGTAGCACTCAATTAAATATCACTCAAACATAATATTTAGTAATCATCTTGGTATAATAACTATATCATACATTTCAAATATTTATGCTAAACCATTTGCTATCTTAATGGTTAAACTTTTATAGGCAATCAGCTGCCCTTCGGATTTTTGAATTGCAACTCTCAGAATCTCTGAACATTGATAGTGTTCCCTGAAACTTATAATTGTTCTTTTAAAATGGCTTTTTTGATTTTAAATTAATGTATAACTATAACCTTTTCTATTTTTTTAAATTAACTCTCTAAGGTTACTTAGAATTCTTACCACCTATGAACGGATATTGAAATAATTTTCTTTGGAAAATATTACAGAGTTGTGGTTTTACACTTTTAGAAAGCCTTTTAGCTATCCTGATTGTGATGTAAATTATTATGTGCAAATTATTTTTTCCCTAGAATACTTAAAAATGAATATTATCTTTTCTAAACATGCCTTCTGGATTGAGCTTTCCTTCCTCTCCGCCCATATCCCCAGCATGAGTAAACCTCACAAGCATTATGCACCTAACAATGTCCGCATTATACATATGCATTATACATATACATTATATATATACATATTTCTGCACCAAATTCCCTTCTTTCAAAGCATTCAGGACCTGTACAGTATGCCCTGACTGAACAGAGCTGATAATAATTATTCAACTGTCTCTAGTGTAAGGTCTAGATAAAATCAGAATGGATAAGGGCTCAGATATTAAAATTAACTAGAAAGCAATATCAAAGGGGCATTCATGACATATCAGTTTTGTAATATAGTGGGTTCAACCTTAGATCTTGCCACATGCTTTATTGACGAAGATCACTGATGCTTCCACTTTTAAAATGAGTTTGGTTTTCATTCATCTAAAAGCCTTTAGTACAGTGTTTCTCAACCTTGGAAGCTTGAAGAGGGTGGACTTCAACTCAACCCCAGCGCTGGCTGGGGGATTCTGGGAGTTGAAGTCCACCCATCTTCAAGCTACCAAGGTTGAGAAACATCGCTTTAGTAGATAGGAAGGTACTGTCAATATCCTAAGAGAAACAATTCCTTGGTGGCGCAGCCGACTAAAGTGCTGTTAAATAGCACCAGCTGCCTGCAATTACTGCAAGTTCAAATCTCACCAGGCTCAAGGTTGACTCAGCCTTCCATCCTTTCGAGATAGGTAAAATGAGGACCCAGATAGTGGCGGCAATAAGCTGACTTTGTATAAAAAAGAACACCGCTTAGGGGGCCCCAAAAGCCCTACTAAGCAGGTATATACAAAAGTATGAAGGCTATTGCTTAAGGCATTGTAAGCCATCCTGAGTCTCTGGCATATAAATCGAACCAATAAATAAATAAATTCCTTAGCTAAAAAGTATAACAAAATCCAGGAAAGAGAACCAGATACGCCGCTAATAAAATGAGTATACATCTTTGAAGTTTGAGTCATCACACTAATATTGAAGTTGTTATTTAATTTTGTCACACCCGGCAGGTTTCCAGCCCTGATGCTCTCTGCTAGAGATGTTGGTTGGATCGTAACTACCATCACTCCCAACTAGAAGGCTGTCTAGTAGTGATCAGCAAGTACTCGTCGAAGGAGGCTGCTGTCGACCATTTAAAAGTTCCAGGGTGGGTAGAAACTTGACAGGTCAAGCTTTCTTTCCTGATCTCATCCTCCTTGGACTTCAGAGACAGAGAAAGTCGACTGCTCAATCCCCCAAAGCGCTCGAACATCCCCTTCTAAACCAACCGGGTTCCTGGATATCCCTCCCCTGGGCGCCCATCGGTTCCCTGCCGCCTTGCCTTGCGGGGGCTGACAGAGAAAGTGGGGGGGGGGGGACGGCGGCGGCCAAGGGTCGCGTCCCTTTACCTGAGAAGTCCGCCAGCGCGGCACTCTCTTTGGTCCAAAGCAGGAGCAGGCAGAAGAGGCGAGGGAGCAGCTGGCGCCGGCTCGCGCTCTGCCCAGCCCCCAGTTCACTCATGGTGCGGCGCCGATCCAGGCAGCCCAATCGGGTCACATGACGGCTCCAGCCAAGAAGAGTCCCTGTCCTTCCCAGGACCGGAGCGCCTGAGGGAGACCAACTCCGCGAGGGAGAGGGAGGCGAAGGAAAGGGGCGGGAAACGGCGGGCAACATCAACGCGGCGCGGAGGCTTCGCTCGGCTTCCACGCACTTTCCCCGAAGAGGAAATCCCGGCCAGATGCAGCCCGCGGCGCGGTTGGAAAAGCCAAGGGCGCGGCGCGGCTGTTTGCGTGTTGGCGGAGAAGCCAGGAAACACTTTCCAAAGCCGGCAGGACGGCGTGCGCGCAGAGCTGAGGAGCCGGCGCAGCCTTGAACGGCCGGCTAGTTACTCAATGTTCATTGCCGCGCTGTGACTCTCCGCTTTTGCGCCCCATTAGGTTCCCTTGACCCTGTTCTGGCCAGTCTCCTTCGAGGTGGCCTTGCCCTCTCTGTGGGTCGTCGGCGACAACTTCTTCTTCTTCTTCTTCTTCTTCTTCTTCTTCTTCTTCTTCTTCTTTCTTCTTCTTCTTCTTCTTCTTCTTCTTCTTCTTCTTCTCTCTCTTCGTCTCTCTTCTTCTTCTTCTTCTTCTTCTTCTTCTTCTTCTTCTTCTTCTTCTTCTTCTTCTTCTTCTTCTTCTTCTTCTTCTTCTTCTTCTTCTCCTCCTTCTCCTCCTCCTCCTCCTCTCTCGCTTACTTGTTAAAGCCGCTCCCTTTGAAAAGACGCGATGCTGCTCTAGGGTGGGATGCGCTCCGGGCTGATTTTTGGCCATGCCCCAGCCCCTTGACGCGCTCCTTGGTTATTGCTGGTGCTGCCGCTGCGTGTAAGCGATGGGGTGGATGTTAGAGACCAATGGGCTGCTGCTCTCCTATAGGGCATCAACGGGGCTAAGGCGTCTGAATAAACGTGGATAGGATTAACCTGAAAGTGAAGGTAGGAAGTAAAGGGGGGAAAAGACGGTCTCTTTCTTTCCCCTCTCGCAACCCTTATTTTCGATCTCGATGAATGGCGTACAGTCCAAATTCTCTGTATGCTTTAAGTAGTGGGGAGGTAGTTGTTACCCTCTTGCTGCAAAACTTTAACCAGTGCAAGTGAACACAATCCTTTCTAACCTGCCATTGCCACAGTTCTTCCACCTGTTGTCCTCCAAAAATGATGAACGTTTCCCACTGACAGTTAGGATACTCATGCTTCATGAGGAGGTATTTGTAGCCAGATACATCTGAAGGCGTCCACTGTTAATATTTAATAATTAGTTAAAAATACATTTCTTGGAGAGATTGCAAAGGCATTCACCATTCACTAGTGAAACACCAGGCTAAAAATCACCTTAGCAAGAATGCTGGCTTGGTGATTTTGGGCCAGTCACTCGCTCTCAGCCCAACTCACCTCACAGGATTGTTGTTGTGGAAAAAATAGGAGGAAGAAGTATTAGGTATGTTCGCCACCTTGAGTTATTTATAAAAATAACAATGGCAGGATGTAAGTAAAGACAATAAAAATAACTTTTCTTCTTGAGAAGCAGTATAAATTTCAATATTCTTCCCTTCACATATCACATATCACATATCACCACACATCAAGGAAAGGCTGAATCTTAATGTTGTTTGCTTTTGGCTTTGCATTTAAATTTTTTATTATATCAAAGTAATATATGCATATCACTATGGCAATATGACAGAATCCCAAAATTAGTGATGAAGTTGAATTAAATAGCCTAATTCAAACAATTACAAAGAACACATAGCAGTAATCTATTCTTGCATATCAGGGGTAGATTTCTCCTTTTGATGCTTTGTCATAATTTCTGTTAGCCAGATGATAGGTTCAGCATCAAGTGTGGCAGTGGTAAGGCAAATCCACACCATTTGAATTAATATTTTATTTCTAGAATTGCATTTTGAACAGCAAAGTGATTTGGACCTCACAGAATATTTAATAAAAGCTGACTTCAATCTATAAATCTCTACCTTGAGGGTTATAAACTCATTAAGGCTGTCATTGTGTGAACCCAGTCAAATTGCATAGATTAGTTTTTTAGTTGTTTACCATGTTATACAAACTCAGCCTGTATGATTACTTTATTGTTTACTGCACTGTGTGAATTTTATAAAAATAGATAAATTCAAATTAAATTAAGTTTGCTGTATCAATGCAGTCTTAGACTACTTGCAAACTTGAAAATCAATTTGTATGTGAACATATAAGATATGGCCATCAAGTGGTAACATGGTTCCATTTCCATGTGATTAATATAGGAAGGAAACCTGTGATCCCAACCTTTTTATTTTCTTTTTCAATAGCACTATGTTTCATTTTGTGTACTTGTGGTCATTAAGAAACAAGCTGCTTGGGCTTAAGTGGCAGTTCAAATACTTTTTAAATTTGTGCCATCCAGTCAGTTTTATAACTGTGCCTTTTCACTGATAGTATCTTCTGAAAGCATTCAGATGTTACATTTGTAATATTTTTAAAAAGCAACTTTGTTTTCATTTTTCCCAGCTCAACCACTGACAAAGCCAGATTTAAAAAGAAAGTGATTATCTATCTTAGTTTCACTGTAAAAGGGACATGATATTGGAGTCTTGTCAAGAATCCAGAATGCCTCATTTGTATACAATCACTCTTTTTCTGAAAGAACAGAAACAAAAGGTTCAATATACTGGCAATGCCCATAGCAGTCCAAAGAGCTGATGATTTTTAAAAATTTCCTAGACTTTTATTACTTGGAGCATTTTAAAAATTTCTAGTGCTTTATTTTGTTGAAGCATGGTGTTATTATTTTTTATCAATGATTGCTTTGTTTTTCATATCGAATCATCTTGAGACTTATTTTCCTATACTAAAATTTTATAACTGGGGATATAAATCATGACAATAGCAATACTTTAAATTGCAGCAGTCGCTACTCTAAAACTGCCAATATCTTATCACGTTTCAAAACATCTGAGCTCTATTTCTACAATTAAATGTTGGACTAATTGAAGTAAAATACACAAAGTAAATTAATCACTACACGGTCCTTATTTAAAACCCTACATTTGCAGAGTTTGTATTTTGATGGAAATGGAAATGAATATGACATTCCAATAATTTTTATATATTGGATTTCAATCAATGAAACAGTTTTTTAAATACATGAGCAATCCCTCTGGTTATTCCTTCAGTTTAGTTTCTTATCTCAGCCACTTTCTTTGAGACAAGACTAAGATAGGTGACATCTTTGACCCTTCCCCAACCTGGTATCTTCTGGGTGAGTTGGATTTCAACTTCCATCCTGCTTGTGAATTAGGCTTTTTGATTGATTGATTGACTGATTGATTCATTGATTCATTCATTCCAGTGGTGGGTTGCTACCGGTTCGCCCCGGATCGGGCGAACCACTAGCGGCGGTGGCAGGAGGCTCTGCCCACCCGCCTGGACATCTCTGCACATGCGCGTCACACACACATGTGCGCACTCACAAGCGAACCAGTAGCAAGGGGTTTTGAAACCCACTACTGATTCATTCATTCATTCATTCTTCTGCAATCATTACAACTTTCGGCAATGTACAAATAACAAAATCAGCAAACTAGAACTCCAAAATCAAATTCCCAGATCATTGTCTAAGTCCCCTGGAATAGTTTAGCTTTAACTTGCTTCTGGAAGGTGAACAGAATTGGGGCAGCTTGGGAGTCATAACAAAACAACTCCTCCAGTCTGCTCTCCAATTTCTCTATGGGGTGGAATTATTTTTCACAAAATGGTGCATTGGACAGATTAACTCTAGATATAGTAAATAGTTCTGGAGATATTAGTACCATGACATATAGGGGTTTATAAGTTAAAACTATCAGGTTCAATTCCAATAAATTTGATCAAGTAGAAATCTATTGATACCCAACGTATGAGTCTATTGCAGCAATATGACATGTTCAAGGCAAGTTGGCACAGGAGCTGCTGTATTTTGAATCACCTCCAGTACATGAGTGGTCTTAACATTCCCATGTTGCAAGATCTTTCCATTTGCCACTGCCTTCATCTGCCTATCCAACAGTAGTCATACAATAAGTCTAGGAAGACTGTAAGTCCACTGACCTACCCCCTCAGAGACAGTGCTATCCTTTCAAGAAATAATACTAAAACTGACAGAAGGATTTGATGGACAAACAGCAACTTTGTCTTATTTGTATTCAATTGCAGTGCCTTTCTTCTTATCCAGGATAAGACTTCAACTGAATTACTGGAACAGCCAGGATGGCAATGTAGATATTATTGGCATTAGCATCTTATTGAACAGGACTATTCTATTTATTATTATTTAGCAGGATAATTATATTTATGATTCTGATACAGTATGGCATTATTCTAACCACCTGAAAGATACCAGGTTGAGGGAAGAGTTAATGTTTAGGTTTAAATAAATAACACTCTCCAAGTCTGCTTTCTGAAGAGGAGTCAATCTATTCTTCTCTTATGGGTAGGGCTGGGCACTGCAAATAATGTGAGCCAGGGTTCTGGAAAAGTTTTTGTTCAGTATTCACCATTTAATCATAAGGGTTATATGCCTTATATACCATTAAAGTAGCACTGTACTATTTAGATCTATCATTGAGTGTTTACCTACAATGTCTAAACAACCTCAATCTTTGTTGTCATCTTGCCCTATTTTATAATTTAAAATTCTCAACTTTCCATTTTCTCCCATCAAGTTGATTCTGTCCCACCATAGCTTCAACATATTTAAAACTTGTAATGCTTTGCCACTTAGTATCTTGTGAATGAGACCAAGTGGCCTGTTGCAGGCATGTAGGGGGAAATGGGCATCCTGTGACACTGTCTTCATTGCAGTTGTGTGTTTTTCTAGGATTCCCACCCCCCACCTTCCATTAGTACTTTGTTTCTCAAGTTCTTTGATACTTGTTATCCCCTGCCTCACTATTTCTAGAGAAAACATATTTCCAAGATCCAAATAAGATGGAGAAGAAGAGATGTCTACTATTATGTTTGACCAATTTTTGCCAGTTCAATACTCACTTTTCAGCTATTTGATTCTTAGGGATATTCATACATACACACACACACACACACACAGAGGCAACCTCTTGAAAATTCATTATAAGCTTCTTTATGGTGATGCGATCAGGCTTGAAAGAGGCAACAATGTGCCCTCTTTTGGACACACCACCACTTGACTCAATCACATTAAATAATTGCTATTGGGCCAATGCTTCCTTTTTTATGGGAAACTGTAGAGAAGATGGGGCAACGAGTACAGGGGTTTCTGGTTGAAACAGACTAATCTGAATTTATGCCTGGACATGGGGTAAAAGCTACATTAATCACTTTTATGGATGACTTTCAGCATGACCTGAATGACCATGGTATATCTCTCCTGATCCTATTAGATCTTTCAGCAGCATTGGATGGTGCCAACCATTATATCTTTTTGGATTCCCTGTAACAGCTGGAAATCAGAGGTATTATTTTGCAGTGGTTTTGCTGCTTTTTGAGCAAGTGGTTCCAATCAGAAGAGATGGAAGGAGGAGAAGTTAAATCCTGGGCAGTTCAGTGGAAACAATTAGCTCACTTTTTTTTTAACACCTACATGAAGCCATTAGAGCACAAAGCTGAACAGGAGATGCAGTGGAAATCTTGAACCAGTGTTTAGAGGATGTGAAGGAATAAAAAGGGTGGAAGAGACTAAGACTGAATTCTAGCAAGATGGAAATACTGCTGGTGCAGAAGATTTCAAGAATCAACATATTCTATCTATACATCTTGATTTAATTCAATTTCCCTTGAAAGCTGCCTGTGAGTTAACTGGTGTGAACTAGTTAGGGGAGCAACATCTGTGCTATAGGAATTTCCCTGGTGGTGAATAGAGTTATGATGTGTAATTCATGATACTTTTTATTTTCTTTAAAGCTCATTTGGACTCCCTGGCCACCATTACCCCATTACTCTAGATGGAATTTGCCATGTAATACATGTTTAGGTGGGAGGAAGCTCTGGAGTTCCATCCCAGAGATCAAAGGATTGGGAGCCAGGAGGAAGATTTTCTCTCTGTATTCTTTCCATTGTGGAAAAGTTTATCCCAAAAGATCAGGACTTATGTACCCTGTTAACATTTAGACCGTTCTTCCACAGGACTATTGGGAGAATCTTAATTAGTCAAACAACAGTAAACTATTTTCTGAGGTTGTACTTCTTTTTAATTGCTTCATTTGTTATTATGCTTTTATTAAGCTATTTAGAAGCCACAGAAAAAAGACCTATAGGCCAAAGAGACAAATTACTGCATAAAAATTAATTAATTAATAGGAACTGGCAATAAGAACAGCAAACTGCTTTTATCATTTTGTGACAACTCAGGAAAAGTTAAATAGTATATTCTTCCATTAAATATTTTTTCTAAGTTTCATGATTTCCATAGAAATCATGCTGCCTTGGGTTATTGAAATCTTAAATCTAATGAAATATATTTATAATAAATTGCCAAGTAGATATCCATTATAAAACAAAATGAAGAAAAAATGGAAATACTATATTAAACTACATACTTAAGATCAAAATAGAAAATTGTACACAACGCTAAAAAATGAAGATGATATAACTTATCTCTATGTATTCACACATGCACACCCATATACATTTAAAGATAAATGCGTATATGTATGTAGATACATAGCTATCAATCTTCTAAGAATATATGCCTTTCTCTAATTGCCTTTGTAGTTGTGATACAATATTTCTAAACAACAATTATTTCTAGACTATTGCTTCTCCATTGATACTAATTCAAAGTTTGAGAATTCACAAAATTAAGATATCATTTCAGATTAGGAATATGGACATTCTTCCATGAGTATATACTCAAATTTTTGCTACAGCACAGTGATATAGCCAAAGTTTATTATAACAAAATATTGACATATTTAATCCTTAATTGCCTTTGAAGGATCTAATTTACAACAACAACAATAATAATATCTAGCCAATATGGATTATAAATGGACAAGTTCATATGTGCCATAATTACTCAAATTTATTACATTTGTAGCATAAAAATGGGAGCCAACTTTTTAATACTGTATATTCTCTAAGCAATATATTAACTGATTAAGAATGATTTATGAGCCCGTTTTTCAGAAAATTATGTTACAAGCCATTTTTAAATCAGAATTAATGTCAGTTTTTTATTAAAATAAAAATCAAATTTAAATTTTCAATCAAGTACAATAAGGATAGCGATCTTTAATTGCTTTCAATATTTGAACAGTGACAAAGTTCTTATAGAAGTATCATCCTAAGGAAAAGCTCTTGCTAAATTATAATTAATTGACTAGAATATAATTAATTAGGTTCCCACTAACTTAAATTAATGGCTTGGATTGTATTACACACAATGTGTTGCGCCAAAGAATAGTAGCGCCACTTAAATCAGTGAGACATTAAACTGAAGACTGAATTATTCTAATAAAAGGACATCCATTTACTGAGATAAATAAGCTTGGGATAATATCCAATAGAAATCTGTTACATATTGTTTCATAAAATAAATGTGATTAAAAACCATTAATCTGTGCATTGAGAATGACAATTAGGTTTGACAATTGCTTTATCTTAGAAGGCACTTCACCTGAAATATTATCGATATGTGAATGTGTATAAGTCAGCACCTACTGCCCTTCTAGAAGAATGAAATATTTTGGGAAATAATAAAAAGGCAGAATATTATATTTCCCCAGAGGGAGAAATGGAAAAACATGTTTTTAGAGGCAGAAAACAACCCCCACTTTCCTTAATAGCCCACAGCAGATGTCAGCACTTAAGAGATAAAGAGCTTATTGAAAAAGGAAGACAAATATCTAGATAGCTCTATTCATAGGCAAAGCAAATACTGCAGGCAGAAATCCATTCAAGACAGGATATTTTGAAACTCCCTGCAGAGGGATTTTGATCCCTCCCTGCAGAGGGATTAGCCCTCACTCAAGATCCAACAGGACAAAACCATTAAGACACAATAGGAATTGCCCAACACCCTTTCAGAACACAAGCCCCTTCCTTACATCATCTCAGAGCAGTCCAAACTTTCAACCAAACCTGGGAGCTCAGAGAAACACCTAGGATTTGTATTTCCTCTTTTGCCTATAGAGTCAGCTATGACCCCTAAACGACCCCATAGGAATCTGACAACAGCCAATAGAATATTAAAGGACATGTTCTTGCACAGGAACAGGAAGCTCAAATACAAAACCCAAAGAAGGTAACCCTCCCCCAACTCTCAACTCCATTCTGTCAGCTGCACCAGAACCATAAATCCAGGTGGTTCTGCTTCATCAATAAACCATCTTTCCAATCAACTTCCATGTTTCCAGTGTCTTTCTCCCAGCTTGGAACTGAACCGGATGGATATTTCTTCCCATACTATTATATAGTACAAGGGTCAGCAATCTGCAGCTCTGGAGCCGCATGTGGCTCTTTCACTCCTCTGCTGTGGCTCCCTGTCACTCAAAATATGTGTCGCAACCGCCAATGTGTGACACCCATCGGCACACGATTTATTGAGCTTTTCAACCCCCAGTAGGCCAACCATGAATAAATCCAAGTAAAGAAAAGTTTCAGAAGAAAACAGAACATTTAATTCAACTACATATGCTAGTTTTGTGGCCGCTCAAGAAATAGTCAGGCATGGGAAGGGTTTTGTGGCTCCCGGTGTTTTCTTTTCTGTGGGAAACGGGTCCAAATGGCTCTTTGAGTGTTTACGTTTGCAGACCCCTGATATAGTATATAGCCAGGGGTGGGTTCTACTTACCTTTACTACCGGTTTGCAATGGGGCTGCGCACACGTGCTTCTGCACATGTGCAGAAGCTTCCTGATGACGTCGGGGTCGGTGGGCAGAGCCTCCCATCGGTTTTACTAAACCAGGGGCAACCCATCACTGGTATATAGTTACTTCAATACAATTGGATAAGTATCTGGAACTTAATTAATTTTCAAGCTTTTACATAGCCATTACAAATAGATAACTCTGAACTCTGAATTTGTCTGTACTTGATTACACTTTAGATCAGCGTTTTTTCAGCTTGCCTGAACTTTAACATGATGTGTGGACCAACTCCCAGAATTCCCAACCAGCTATCCCTAACCACTGAAAAATACTATTTTAAATCAAGATATTTGATCCCCTATAACTGACAGCAAGCATTTTTTTCTCTTGTTTGTTCGTTTAAAACTCCAACGGAACTAAAAGTAGTTTTTCCTTGGAGATACAGATTTCACTTGAGGGGTGCAGATTGCAGAAGGAGAAAAAACTCAGCTTGGGAACATATATATTGAAATTGCAATGGATTACGTCATCTTTTGCTCCTCTGGGCAACGAGGGTGACCCTGGCCTCCGCCACTGCCCTACAGAGCTCAGACTGATTGCCTCCTTTAGTCAGGCTAGGAACCCGTCTCAGTTGTAATTTCGCGGATGGGGGGAGAATAAGCGACACGGACCACTTCCGGCCGAGACGGGCAACCCCGGCGAAGGCGAGCCCGGCTTCCCTTCGCTCTACCGGGTGTCGCGGCGAACCGCGTTTGCTTCTGGAATATGGGCACCAAACGCAAAAGCTCGGCCTCGGCCGGGCGGCCGGACCCGCCCCCGGCCAAGCGGGTTCGAAGTACCGATGCCGCGGAATTCACCGGCGCCCGGTTCAAATTCCTCCTCCGCGATTCCAGCACCGCGATGAAAGGTCAGCCAGCCACGCCGCTCTCAACGTCCCCACGTGGATTCATTCAGTCGAGTTGATCTCTCCGCTGCAAAGAGCTGTGCGGTGGCCACAAGCTGCATGTTGCTAATATGCGAACAGTAGCTGAATATTTGTATGCAAATTAAGTTGTCTGTAATACATGTGTCCCGGACAACAACGTGGTGTCCAGAAGCGAGAGACAAGTTTAAAATTGATTCTGTGTCCTTCGATTCTGAGCAAAAGGATTGTGAATTCTTTGTATAGACAGCTGTTATTGCGAGTTACAATTGATAAAAAGAATTATAAAGGGAGCGTGTGGGGGGGTGGGGTGGGGAAGGTTACATTTATTAGAAGGCAGGCAGTCTTCAATAGATATAGTAAACACTGATAGATTTTCCAACTGCCATCCTTGGTATCATGGCATGCCCCTGCATTGTTTTAACACAAATTGCCAACTTTTTCGCTTTTGCTCCTACTATTACGTTTGTCTTGTCAACCTCTGCATTTGAAGGTCTTTTTTTCCATAACTTGTTTCCCAAAGGCTGTATTGGTAAAATATTGATAACAATAAAGAAAGAAATCAAAGTTCACTTTCCAGCTCTGCTATGGAAAAATGAGGTAGTTAATAAATTGGGAGCCTGAAATACAAACTACTACTTGAATAAAACCAATTTACCTGCCAATTATAATTAGTTGAAGTAAAGAATAACATGTCCAGCGTGATTTGAAAGAAGAATCAAATGTATGTTTTGTTCCAGGTTTGGAGACGTTCATAGCCAAAGCTAAATTACTACCGTCAAATGAGCAATATGATGTAGTGGAAGGATACATAAAAGTTTCGATTGAATGTGTAGAAATTTTTAAACTTCTGGATGGTGAAAGGCGTCCTGACAGTGAGGTCAGTGTTTCAGTTGATGAGAGCTGTCACAGGCTCCTGTTAGGTAGTGTTTTTGTGCTATTAAGAATGAACACTGAATTCTGCTGTGTGCCATTTGTGATTATTTTACTCATTTAAAAGTGTCTTTGCACTCCTATACTTGCTAGGGAGTTAACCCTTAGTGAATTTTATTTCTGCAATCCTTTCTAAAAATTTCACGCAATGTTTTAAAAGTATTTGTCTTCTTATGAATAATGAATTTCCTAGCTGTTTCCTACAGTGCTGGGATGCTCATGGAGATACTTTTAATTCAGAAATGGGCAATGCATCCAGGTCTTGTTGGACTGTAATTCCCATTGGCCACGTTGGTTAGGCTTGTCCCCATATTGCTGTCCCTGCAATAAAGTGTTGTAAATAGCAGTATACTTTGGGGTTTAGAGATGGGGTATTATACTTCTGGTACTGGACTGGACCTAGAGTAGATACTAAATATAAATGTGTGTTCTAAATGAGGTAGTAGCGTTCTAGCAAATAAATTGGCATGGATGAGCATTTGTCCCATTAGTGGAAAGGTTTCAATAATTTATTTGTACTATTTGTACTTAACATGTCAGCAACATCCTTTTTGTAACAATTATAAAAGATATTACTATCCTTTATGTTTTAGACCAGGGACACAAAATCTTTTTCTACTGGATTATTGATCTAGTCACAGTCACACATAAAGTATTTAAAGGATAGTAAACAGCTTGATCTGAAGCTGATGTGGTGCAAGTGTAGAACCTGTGGAAGTCCTGTCCACTGACTGGATAAACATTTTCCATACTGTTTTCTGATAGGATTCCCTTTAAAAATGAGGAATAAGTTAGCTGTTCATCAGTCTGTCCTCAAATTGACTTCAAGTGGAGACTTTCCAGTATCCCTATTTAAAAAGATATTTAAAGAGTTCATAAAATTAAACAAAATAGGCAGATAGGTTTCCCATATGCCTTTTAAACAAAAACACCATAGTAACTAGTAACTAAAGCTTTGGAAATTTTCATTAGGATCATGTTGTCTTATATTCTTGTATGGACCGCACCAGTAGAGGCTAAACCAATTTCATTGTATACATAATGTACAATGACAATAAAAGCTTTGAATTTGAATTTGAATTTGAGTGTTGTTGCAATCCAAAGCCTTGTCTGGGTATAATTTAATTTAGCAGCAGAGGGTTTTTCTAAGAACATTGCAAAGCTTCCTTTCCTGTTGAAGTACATTTTGTTTAGAATGCTGAGTTCCATTTGTATCTTAAAAAGACATGTTGGAATGTTTGAAATTTTGCAGATGCTGCTAATTTTTCAAGCTCTAGAAAATATTTTGCTGCGAACAGCAAGTGATCTGTCCCATTTTCGTGTTGTGGGGATGAATATAGTAAAGAAGTTGATTAACAGTTACATGAAATTAATTTATGCTGCTTTGTATTCTGAAACTCATAGGTAAGTTCCTTGTTTAAAACAAACCATTGTTTAGAAGTGCGGTGGAATAAAATTTTCATTGCTCAGTACTGTGTTTATGCTCTGTCACCAGGAATAACAAAGCACTCTTTAATACTGATTTAAAACTATTTTACAGAAAAACTGTAGTGACATTCTACATTGTAATCCTGTGTTGAATCTGGAGACTAGAATAATCAATTTTAACGCCCGTCTCTGTCACTTTAGGAACATTTTATTTGTATAAACTTCTTTATTTTGCTTTGTGGTTCGTTGATTATCGTTTTATTCTCCATACATTAAAAAAAAATCTAGAATAAAGAATAAGTTTAAATATATAGCTTCATATTTACAACGTTCTTCTAGTCTGAAATTACGTATGTTTTCTGATATTATAAAACCCAGATGGTGCAGCATTTATAGAACTGAAAATGGTGTTACTTCAAAAATCTGCTGTGTTCTGCCATTTTCATATGGCAGGGTCTGTCTTGAAATCAGAATTTAATGAATTTTAACCAGAAAAATATTTATACTACAGGGTTCATTCATAAGTCTTTACTTACTTTCTCTCTTTCTCTCTCTCTCTCCCCCGCTCCCTCCCCTCCCCTCCGTTCTGTCTTCTCTCTCACAGACAGACAGACACAGACAAACCCATACACATTTGCAAAATGGCACTATATTCATGAAATAATTTTTTTAAAAAAATCTGACAGGGTTATTGAATTGTGGCAGTTATTGGTGCTTCCCATAAAGAGCTAGGCTTTTTCAAACTTCAGTCCTAAAGCGCTTTTATCAAATCTGTTTTGATCTACTATGAAAGCTTTAGTAATAATCAAGATATCTTCATTTCATGCATATTGATGCAGGCATACAGCCATCTTCCTATTAAAATATTTGGGGCATATTTTAAATATAGAAGATAAATATACGAGATCATTTATCTAGTAAATGAATAATAACTTTAGCAATGCTATATTACTATTTAATCTGGGCCCATTACTGGCTAATGTGTTTCCATTATATACTGTATGAACTCTGTATAGGGCAATACTTTTGTATTGCTTTGTAGTTAGCATATATCTATATTTATACATGTAAAGTAACATGAAATACAGCTTGCTGTAATTAAGTTCCCTTGAAATTTTTTGTGTCTGGTTAAAGTACTTGTGTTTAGATTGACTGAGGCATCTGCTCCCTTAGCTAACTAAAATGAATAAACACCAAAGTTGTCCTCACTTTTTAATTTTTCATTCATTAGTTTGTTTGCCAACGTTGCTTAAATATTGTTCCCTGTTCTAACTGTCTCTCTTTACAGACTGTCTCGTCTGTGTCTAACTTTGCTATCAGCAATGGTGACACAGGGATCAGATGCTGCCAGAGATGTCTATAGCCACTTCGATTTCAATAATAAATTCTTACCTAATTTAGTGAAGAAGAGAGACTATAAGGTAAGAAAGCAAAAAGTCTGCCATGAGAATTAACTGATGGCTTATGCTTTTTCATCTCATTTTCAAAACAAAGCTGTGGTCAAAAGAAAAGCTCTTTTTTATGAGACAAGTTGTTTCTTTTTAAAAAAATCAGTCACCCATGTGCAACTCATAAAAGAAACTTGTCATCCTCTACATGATCTAGTACATTCATATACCATTTGTACAAAATAGCCTCCTTGTTTTTTAAAAAAGTTGGCAGCTACAATTTTGAGATAAATCATATTTTTTGCAATGCAGGGACCCTAGTTCATATAAAAATCCTTAAAATTAAAAAGACAAGCAAAGTCATGAGATTTTCACAGCAAACCCATAGACATATGTAAATTCAGCCTGTACATTCAGATTTTAAGAAGAAGTACAGTACAGAATAGATTTCTGAAAAATGCCATGCTTGTCTGGAGAGATCACACATTTGAAGTAAAGAAGAAAAGCTATCACTTCTAGAAAAAAAAAGCTTACTTAGATTTTTGATATGCTAGTTTTCTGTATGCAAGCAGAATTTTGTTCTAAATTGGTTGTGCCCAACCTTTGGCCATCTTGATTGAAGATTATGAGTATTGCAGTCTAACATAGTTGAATGGCAGGTAATTAGAGAAGGTTGATTTAATACATTGACTCTTGCATCCTTGGGAATTGTGTCATTTGAGTTTTATGCAAGCATAATAGTCAAATAAGCATAATAGGCAGCCAGAATAGTAGAAACTTCTACTTATCTAAACTATTATGGGCTCACGGTCAAGAGCATGATTTTAGATATACAGATGTAAGATCCTGATAAGTACAAAACAAGAAAGTTAAGGTACTGTATTTTATGAAATGTGCAAAAGATACACAAATACTGGTACTTTTATTAATTAATTCTCATATATACTGAACATCTTTTAATATTTATTTAGGGTAAACCTGATATCCGTACAGCATACATCCAATATGCCATTTCCTTTTTAATTGCTGGCGACCATTCTATCCTTGTGCAGGTTCTGGAGTTAAAAGGTATTTTACAAGTATTCCTAAATTATTTGTTGATGTGGGAAGAATATGTATAATGGATTTCATGATACCTAGACCAAGGTTTTTGCAATCATTGCTTATTTCCATATGTTCTTGTTTTGTTTTCCCATCAAAACAAAACAAAATTCTTGAGGCATATAATGTAATAATAGAAAAGCTTTGGAAAGCCTCTGTTGCTCTTAAAGTAATAAACTTGGGGTTGAGGGTCAAGCACCACTGCAGTAATAAAAAAAAAGTAGGGTTCCTCTAACCAGAGAGTGTGCTAAGGGCCAGGAAAGCATCTGCCCAAGAATTATAAATATTTCTGTAAGGCACTATGGAATTAGTTCACAATATTAACTTTCTTTTTGCTGTGTTACATGCTCCCTGTTTATGAGTTTGGTTTATGTTGTCAACATACTGTATTCTGATGTAACTGGCAAAGCTTTGCAAAATTGATTTAATTAAAATGTTTACTGTATTTCAGGCATAATGTTATCCTTTTTAATTTTTTTTAGATTTCATTCCAGATATTATTAGGACAGGGTTAAAAGAAGATAGAATTTCCACAATTAACCTTCTGCTTTCAACTTTGGAAACTAAGGTATACTCTGCAAATATTTTTGTTCTTTATACTGTATGTTCTTTGACTGTTGAAATATCTTCATTGTGGTTTTTCAGGCAATCTCTGATTACCATTTTATTTTGCTGTACTTAAGAACTTATTAGCATTTCAGGTGTAGAGCTTTTTGCTTGATTTGCTTATACTTTTAAGTAACTTATGTTTTTTAAATAAACAAAAAATTAAAGTTGCAAATGAATGCAACAGTGGCATTAAAGTTGTTTATGATACTTCTGACAGTTCCCATAGATGTAATAGCACACTTGTGGCCTGACTTAAGAATTTTGAACTATTGTGTTAAAATGTTGTGTTATTTGTAGGTGGTTCTCAATAAAGATATCAGTAAGACTCAGAAAGTACACTTTTTTACCTCAGAAATACTGAACCACATTGCTTCACTCTATCGCTGGAATGGAATTACTGATGTCAGCACAGTGGATGTCAAGGTATAATAATCTTCTTATAACAATCTTATAATAAGACATGTTGTTACATGCCACCACTCAAGGAGGAAAATGAAAGGCCATACCAAGCTCAGAGTTTGCCTAGTAAGGTGAAAATAGTTTGCCATTAGGAATAGTAATCTGGGCTATTTTTGAGGAAATGGTATCCAGTTTCAATGTTCCAATGTCAGCAGCCAGGTTTATACAACCAGGCAGAATCTATACCAGACTGACACAATATGGCTATCTTCAGGTATGTTGAAATTGCACCACCCAGAATTACCCAGCCTGATTGGGGAAGCACTAGAAACATTTAAGAGCAGAACCTGCAACCTTCTATTTTGTGCTCTGAAAATACTGAATAAGCAAATGTGGTAAGCTGACTGTTTTTCTTCAATTTGTTAATTTGATGCAGGCTTCCCAAGAGTGTGAAGAACCAGGAAAGCTTTTAGTGAGAGAACTGGTTCATAAATTTTTAATGAACCTTTGTTGTTCTCTGAAACATGGCATTAACTTTTATGATCCAAGTCTTGGCACATCTGGCAGGTAAAGCATTCAGTTATTCAGTGTTAAAGTCCAGTTATATTTTGTAGTTTTATTTAGGTTAGAGCTAAATTGTTTGAAGTATTTTCTTCAGTGTTGCCTCATCTTTTGTGAATGGTAAGAGTGTTGGTTATTCTATGTTGTAATTTCACAGGACAAGAGCAAAATTTTTATCTCTTGGTCTATTCTAGAAGCAAAACTTCTACTGGTTTTGGTCATATAGTCTTCAGCAAACTGCATCTTTTAAGCATAAAAATCTGTTAAGTCCTGTTTTCTTTTTCCTTCTCTCCATCTTTCTGGCAACTTCTTCTACAGTGGGCAACGTCTGAAGTCTGCATATAAAACCAATAGCATTTAGTTAATTAATCTGCATGTTTGCATGTAAATTGGAATTACTACATGATAGCATAAATAACGGGTCCCTAACCCTCACTACTGGGCCATGAGCCATTGGGAACCAGGCCGCAGATGTAGCGTGCGAGAGCGCATGTGTCCCTATTTGCACAAGCGGTAGTCAAGTGCATGCACTCCCGCTTGCCAGCCACTCCCACAGAACCATCCCCACTCTCACCGGTCCCCAGAGCTGGAAAGGTTAACTCTGTTTTATAATTCTCCATCCTACTATCCTCCAAAATAGATGAGATAGATGAGAAAAGCTAACTTACCATAACTCCTGCCCATTGATAGCATCTGCAGCATAAATTCTGATCACTGATTGTCGATGATATATTACTATATTCTATCAAAGTGATGCTTCTTCAAACTTATTATTTTGTTAGAGGAGGTAATTTGGTTCTGCTGCGCTTTCTTCTGAGTCTAAAGACTGCTGTAGAAGATGAGATGATTGCTGATCTTATGGTGAACATTTTCAAAGTATGCCCAGATTTACTGAACAGATACTTTAAGGAATCCCAGTATTCTTTTGTTCCGAGACTAAAATCTGCATGGCTAGACAACATGAAATTGCTGAGAAAGGTAAGAACTACTTGAAAAGTATGTATTTAGTACATGAAAATGACCCTTATCAACATTTCTCTTGTTATAATGACAGTTATTGAAGTGTCTCTATGTGAACAGGACTATATTTGCCCTCTTATATTTGATGGTAAGTCAGAAAGAAATTCATTTTAATTAATGGGTTGTGGAAGGATGGATAAATGGCAAAGTAATCAGACTTCGGAGCTCTCTTGTGCTTCTCTCAAGACTTTGCACAATAGTAAAAGTAAATAACTTGAGCTGGGCTGAGAGAGAGTGACTAGCCCACAATTACCCAACCAGCTTTCATGGCCAAGGTGGGACTAGAATTCCAGTATCCTGATTTCTAGGCCAACACCTTAACAACTAGACCAAACTGGCTATCTATCCTGCATATATTACATCAAATAATTGAGGGCAAAGTAATTCAAAAGTATATTATTTAGATACAGTATAATTTAAAAATCTCACAATCTCAACTTGTAAAAATCTCCTTTTCTCCCCCCTCTTCTAAATAATATCTGCAGTTTTTATCTGATCTGCAGATTTTATATCACTGCAGATCTCACAGGTAAGAATTATTTTTAAAAAATTCTTGTATTATTTATGTGGACAGGATCAGAAAGAAAGGCTATATTAAAACAAATGTAGCTTAATTTGAGTAAGTTCAAATCAGATTTGAATCACTCTTTCAGTCTAACCTCACAGGGTTGTTGTTGTGGAAAAATAGGTGGATGAAGGAGTATTATGTATGTTCGCTATCTGGAGTTACTTATAAAAGTAATAAAGGCAGGATAAAAACATAATAAATAAATAATGCAGAAGTGTATTGTAAGCTTGTATTGGTTTCAAATATGCAAATTAATATTGTGATCAAAATGCAAATGTAAAAGATCTATATTTCTTAACTCGTTGGGATTATTTATAGTCTAGTTATATAAATTTCTGCCTGGAAAAAAATATTAGTGAATTCAGTGAGGTTTCTTCTCTCCCACGTAGTAAATCACAGTACATCTATAAGATTGCAAATTTATGCATTTAGATTTTGTTTATTTTGAAAGGGAAAAAAGTTGGAAAAACATTCCAACTCAGTGCCATTCATACCTCTGATCAAATCATCGTAGTCATATCCAGTAATTATAAATTCAACCTGTTAAAATATCAGTTAGGTTTGGAAGTGCCAATGCAATTGGTATAATATAGGCTTCTTATGATTTAATAAGTGAGCCCCCTCACTTATGCATCTGCTGAGTTTTATAAATTAACTGTAAAAGCAATTCCTTGTACAGTCTATTATAATAATCCTGCCTAGCTGCCAGTAATGCACGGATGAGCCACACTATGCCAACATTTGCATAATTTCTTTAATTGTGAAGGAACTGGAGACCATTGCTGTTGTTTTCTGTTACAGTCCTCCTCATCTTGCAGATGCTTCCCTGACTGCTGAAACTTCCCAATGGAGGAATGATTCCCATGATATTTTCTCATGGGATTTGATAGAAGTATGGGAAGCTGGATACAATAGCTAGAGAGATGACATTTATAGTAAAAGACAAAACCCCTTTTGGCAGCCTCTTAATTTAATTACAAAAATGCCACCCTAAATCCATGAAAAAGTCATGCAGATTCTCTTCTCTTTAAGTACGTTTCAAAAGCACACTGTTTTCATCAAACTGAATGAGAACTAAGAACACCATCCTATAGAGAAGTTTGCATTGAAGTTCATGTGTTTCAGAAGTTTGAAATGAAAAGAGCCAGAACAATAAACAGGAAGTGGGATTGTAATATGTGGGCAGCTAAATGTATTCTTGTGTGTTTTCAGTGCTTAATTGCTGTAATCTGCTCACAGTCCTTTAGGAGTGCACTATTAACTCAGGAGAGGTGATTAAATATAGTAGTGGCCAATGTATGATTATCTTTCCCTGTGTTTATTGAATTCTTATATCATTGTACCAAATCCGCTCTATAGATTGAATTACTGGTAAGCCTTTGAACTAAAGATTAGCTTGGTAGTGTGTTATTTGGTGCTACGTATCACTAGTTATTTGTGGAAAATGTAGCCAGCCTGAAAGATATTAGATCAGCCTTCCCTTGTGTATCCTACCAGCTTGGTGGACATTGGTTGCTATAATTTTCTGTGAGTGTGGTTTGTGGGGGACAGACATAGGAAAATGTAATAAAAGATGATGGAGAATGTTTGGGAAAGATCATTAATTGATGCTTCTCTGACTTTAAAAGGTGACAATGATTTAAGTAAAATCTTGAAAATCAAGTGAGAGTAGAGTTAATAGAAAAGGATTATTCATATCTCTAATCCCTCTTCCCTGCCCCCATCCCTCTAATTTATTTTTAGTATGCCTAAAAAAGCATTGAAGGGTTCTAGGGTTTTGTTCTTTTTATCTTGTCTTCTATGCTACCGCTCACTGCTGATAATCTGAAAATGCAGAGAATATATATATACAGTATATTGAGAGATTCTTGATCAAATGTCAAATTTGTATGGCCCAGACAGAAGTGGTTTATGACAAAAATCACTAAAACACCACAGTAAGAGCCATAAAGGTTGACTCAGCCTTCCATCCTTTCAAAGTCCGTAAAAGGAGGACTCATGTTTCTGTGGGCAATATGCTGACATTGTAAACCACTTAGAGAGGGCTGTAAAGTGCTATGGGGCAGTATATAAGCATAAATGCTATTGCTATAAACTTCTAACATACCAAGTAGGAAAACCAGCAATATACTGTTGTGGCATGTTACAGTGGCAAGAAAACCCATGTATGTTCTGCAGTGCTGAGGCCTATTTTTGCTGATGATTACTTTTGTTCTGGCATGTAGACCTAAGTTGGTTTTTAGTGCAAGGGAAGTATAGCATTTGAATCCCATGTTTTCAGAACTTGCTGAATATTGTTTTTTCAGCAAGATCTGCAAACATGGGATTCAAATGCTATACTTGAATGCTATACGTCCCTAATTAGCGTAAAACTAGTAAGTTTTCCTGCTTCAGTAATGATCTCTCCTGCCAGTGTTTTCACTTCTACATTTTTTTTTCTTTTCATGTGCAATTGGGTATTTAGACCATCATGAATCTGGCTGAATTGGCTACAGCCACTATTGCATCACTTGGGTTGTGTATCTATATTATATACTTATTTGTAAATACGTGTTTTGTGTTTTTAATTTCAGATCTATGAGGCTCAGCCAGACATTTCCAATGCTTTTAAAACCACTGAGTTTATTCCACTTCCTAAATTGCTTTCTATGGTGAAAGTGACTACAGTACCTGCAGTGTGCAACAAAGCCATGTTTACCCAAGGTTTAAATGTAAGAACTCAGACCACAAGATGATGATGGTGTTTTCCATTAAATTGTGTCCGACTCTTGGCGATTCTATGGGCCAAGTGTCTCCATATCTTCTGATTTTGCACTACTTCTTTGAGTTGTTCTATGCTCTGGCTTGTGTCAGCTTTGATGTTGCCACACTCTTAAGTGTGATCCTTCTCTTCTCTCTCCTACTTTCCCTCTGCTACTGTACTTACAGTATATTTTGAAAAACAAAACAAAAGAAAAAGAATTGCATCATGCACCAATCCATGCAGTTCTTAGGCTGATACTCTCCCACTTTCTCCTTCAGGGTGGTCAGAAAAGGCATGTGGAGATTTTTGTCTTAATAGCATTAGGTCTGTCCAGCAATTAATTTTAACTATGGCTTATTAAAACAAGGCCCCGTTAAAATGTAGTATGTTGTTTGTTTTATTAATCTGCAAATAAAAATAACCTCAGTGTTAGAGTGCAGTGCTAACAGTAAGAATAAAAGTCAGAGCTTCCAATTTGCTCTGAATGGCACTAATAAAGAACTTCACTTTTGAACATATAGTAGAAAGAGTTCATTATTAACAATATTAGCATTATTATCCTAGCTAGGTAAGGTCTACTCTATATTTTGAACATTATTTGGAAAAAATATTTTTAAACACTTGTGTGTGGCACTTCTTTAAGGCAGCTGTATATTTTTCCAAGTTTGTAAATGAGTTTGAAAAAATACCATTGTTTTAATAAGTTGAACTCATTTAAAGCATTACTTCATTTTGCAATCTTCCATGCTTCTGAATAACACAGTACTGTATATTGCTATATTATTGAAAAGTAATAATAATCTTTGGGCAGCTTGAGACCACATTGTTTGCCTAATCCACATGCAAGATAAAATGGACAAGTAGAAATGTGCAGTATCTGAAATTCTTGAAACAAGGTGGAAACAGACATGTTTTTTTTAAATAAATTTATTGTCAGAGAACTACTGTTACATGTAACAAGTAAATTATTTCAATTTCTGTTTATAACTGAGCAGATAGACAGGAAAGTTTATTAACCAAATATATACTCTTCCTCCAGCTTTGTTGTTTTGTAAACTTTTATTATCTTGGTATCTGTGTCCACAACATAATATCCATTTCTTCCTGTCTATTTTCATTTTACCTTAAGAATTATGGGTGTAAGAACATGGATGCTTTCATGTTAGTATCACATTTTTCAATCAGTATCTTCACTATCATGTGATTTGTTTGTTCCTTTTTTATTTATATCCCACCTATATTATTTTTACAAACATACTACATCAGGACTTTTAAAACCTGATTTATTGAATAAGCCAAAGAAGAATCTGGTTCAAATATTGCAGTAACGCCATAAACAAACCACATTATCGTATAGTACAGTATATGAATACAACCAGTAGCTCCAGTTCCTTGCTTGGCATCTTCTGTTAATTTTAAACAGCAATTAATTGCAATATTTCATTGGATCATATTGGCTGTGGATGATGCAACTGACAGTCCAACATATCCAAACCATACCATTTTGCAGAAAATGATAATTGATTTCCCTAAGAAAGGCACTACGTCAAAAGAGACTGAGCATGCTACTTTTAAAAGTCTTTATATTTAAAGAGACATTTTGGGTTTATATCTTTTTTGGATTCGAATTCATTTGATGCATCCTTTTTCCCCTCTTTCTTCTTGTCTATAATTATAGTTGAATTGTTTCCCCTTCATGTCTCTAGTTTGTTACTATTTAACCTTAGAGAACATAGTTAAATTGTGCAAGATGAAGATAAAGCTAAGTGATTGTTTCCATGTTTTAATTTTAGATAGCCAGTAAAACAGTGAAGCATACTATATTTTCACTGATAACAACTATTCTGAAAAGAGCACTGAAAAATATTGACTATTGTCAGAATGAGAAGATATGGGAGAAGTCAGAAATCTATACTCCACTAATCATGAAGGAATTCGTTCAGCAGTACCGGGAAGCACTTAGTAAGGTACAGTCTTAAAAAAAGAAATGAAAACAGGCTTGACTTGCAGTTTGATGAACAAGAAATGCTTCTGTCTTGATTCTTTCTCTTTTTTTTCTGGCAGCTGTAGATATAAATATCTAAAGGTATTTAATTAGGTGTTTTTTTCTTCAGTATATTGGCCTATATAGTACTATTGATTTGGAAGAAACTGTAAATGTTCTTTTGTTTTCACAAATTTAATTCCATGTTTATATTAGTGCCGAGTCTAAAAGTATAATTCTTAGAATAATGTGAAAAAGGCAAAATAACATTTTCTTAATTATACATTTGAAATATGGGGCAGCAGACATAGCCATAGATCTAATGGAGCTAGTACATATTTACGGTTTCCCTTTTTATTATTACCTTATCCTAGCAGCATCTGCAGCACTCCTTAATGATAGTCATACTAATGACATATATATGTCCTTGTGTCCAACATCTGTCATAAGTATGTATGATAATTGTCACACATGAATCCGTTTTACCCCCTGGCTACAAACGCCTGTGCTTTAGAAGTTGTTTGGGAGCTACATTGGAATGAATTTAAGAGCAAACAAGCAGGATATTAAATGGGACAAATCAAATTTGAATAAGGAAATAATAATAGATTAAAATAATTTACAGGAAAAAATAATCTTTCTTGTTAATATATTCAAAACATTTGCAGGTAAATAACCTGCAAATTTTTGCATAAATTCAGATTTCTGATTTTTCTGCTGTACTTCTGCTTTGTACAACATAATATAATGATCTTGTTTAAAACCTAGCTTTTACCAGATATGACTAGCATAATTGCCGTCTGGCAGTCCTTTCTAAAGCAAGATAAGGCTCAGGAAGGACAGAAAGAGAAAGGAACAGAAGCTGCTTCTTATATGGAAGAAACAAATGAAACAAACAAAGAGCATGGTAAGGAATCTTTGGTCATTGTATGTACTTACAGATTTGTTCTTTTAATCCAGTGACTGAAAATATCTGATAATTCATGTTGGCCCTGAGCTGATCTTTGACAAGCTCTATTTAATGTGAAAGTTATATTTTAATAATATGTAATAAAATTACTAGATATCCTTTCTAAAACCCTTGTTTTATAGAGTGTTAACAACCCAGTCCTGTGCAAAATTCTGAATGAAGAGATTCTTGCAGCAAAGCAATTAAGGAAGTTTTCTATAGAAGGCAAGCAGAAAGCAACTTAATGTCCTACTTTACACTTCACACTAATTCCTGTATAGTGTAAAGCATTATCGAATCACTGTTTTTTGGATTCATAGAATTGGCTATTTAATAAACCATGGTTTATAACCTACAGCGGCTATGTTGACAAACCATGCAAAGTCGCTAACTAGCAAACCGTATTATTTAGTACAAAGCAAGAATCACTTGTCTCTTGAGAAATATATTCCTTAAGAATGTCTATGGAGATTCTCAGTCGTCCAGGTCATGGTTGTCCCAAAGGTGCTTTTTCAAGAGGCAACTGGACTTTCTGGTTTTTCTTTGAAGATGTTTTGCTTCTCATCCAAGAAGCTTCTTCAGCTCTGACTGGATGTTGGGGAATCCTTCCATTCCCCACTATCCAGTCAGAGCTGGGATGAGAAGTTAAATGTCTTCAAAGAAAAGACAGAAAGTCCAGTTGCCTCTTGAAAAAAGCACCTTTGGGACATATTCCTTGAGAGTTCTTAATTTTGCATATTCTGACTTGGCAGAGAAACAACCCTGCTAATGTTTCATTCCTTCTCATTTAGACAAAAAAGTTTTATGCATCAATACTTTGTAATTTCTTTTGTTTTCTACCAAAGAGTGCTATAACAATGCTGGCAGTGGTTACTGACCCAGAAGAGGGAGTAGAATTCATTCCAAGCACCAAAAGAGCCAGGCTTAAACTTTTAGAACTATCATTTTAATTCCCTAGATTTGCTGTCAGTTGATTCATTTTTAAATTACATATATTGGTGGCCTCTATTTTTCAGGATTGTACTATGTGTAGAGAAAATAAATCACTCATATCATAAATGGGATTTTATTTTATGGCATTTCTTTGATTTTTTTTTAATATCTGTCAATCTGTGATTTTTCTAGGCTTGGATGATGTAGAAATCACTCTTCTGAAAGCTGTTTTACTTCAAGTTATATGCCTTTATCAACAAGTTGTTCCTCACTTAGTAGCACAGAGCAACTTTGATTTTAGCAAATTAATAAAAGGTAATGTTAAGGATACTCTAGCTAAATGGGACTACACCAAAAATAATATTTATAAAAGAGGATCTTGTCTAGCACTTTAGCTAGCAACCGGCAAGATAAGTATACTTACACTACTGCATGAGATGGGCTGCGATAGATAGATAGATAGATAGATAGATAGATAGATAGATAGATAGATAGATCTGTGGGGTCCTTGGTAATCTCTGAGCTTGGTGGTTTTCTTGCAGATATTTCATTACCAAACTAGGTAACATCATCACTGCTAGAAGGGAGTTGGGTTTACTCTTATTTTTATATATTAGTGGCTTGCCCTGTCAATGTTAGTGGGATTGTTCTTAGTGGTTCCTTGATTAGGTTGTTTATGGTTAGCTTGTCTGAATTGGTAGTCCCTTGATTGGGGTATTGTTTACTTTTTGACTATTGCTCCAAGGTTAATTTTGGTGTTACTCTTTGCTCATGTGAATGCTGATTTCTGGTGGGGAGGTGTATTGGTTTTTTTGTTTCTTTTTGGCTTTTTGATTGTCTCTTTTGTACAATATGTAGGCATCGTTTATCTCTATATGGCTGTTGATGGCTGATTTTTTGAATGCCAGGCTTCTATGAATTCTCTGTTGTTTTTTAACTTGGCTTGATCTAGGATGCTCAGTTTCCCAAGTGAAACTATGGTTGAATCTGTCCATGTGTTGTGAAATTAAGGAGTTTTCATCATGTCTTCTGACTGCTGCTTGGTATTCATAGATATGCTCTGTTAGTCTTCTGTCTGTTTGTCCTACATAGTGGCTGTTATAGTCCTTATACTGCCATAGGTTGACTCCTGTTTTTTCTTCTGGGGCTCCTGGGATCAGGGTAAACTTGCAAGATTTGCAGCTTCCTTTCAACTGCTTTGCAACTTCAGGAACCACAGTCACAGTTGAAAGATGCAGATGAGTATTGAAAAAGTTGATTGAACTCTTGAGTTTGGTGCCCTAAAATTTTAGAATCTTCTCCCCAGGAAATCTTACATTTGGTGATTTCAATTCCAGATGAAGAACTTTTCATTTTCCCAAACTTTTAAAATTTATGTTAATATCAGTATTGTGATGGACAGGGGGAGACAGGATGTGAATCCCTTTAGTTATGTTTTAGGCTGAGGCATAGCACTACAATGCTATTAATGGAATTGGGAATGCAAAGCTGGGATGGGAGAGGAATAATTATCCTGACTCCTTGATGACTTGGTGGCTTTCAATATAATTGATTGTGGTATCTTCTGGACTGAGTACAGGAATTGGAAGTGGGAGACATGGAATTGTGGTGCTTCTTCTTTTTCCTCAGCCAGTTTCATTTGATAATTGGTAGAAAAGATAAAATTCAAAGGCCTTCTTTATGGGTGCCTCAGGGCTTTATGGTTGTCCCTCTCCAGGTGAACCTATGGGTGAGATAATCTGTTGGGTTCAATTATGATGATAAGTCTTGTTCCAGCACTTTGTGGGGGGGGGGGTGTATTGAGAAAGGATCAAACTCAACTGTAATAAGAGTGAGAGACTGCGTTCTTGGAACATCATTTCCACAGTGATTTTAAACAGCTTTGAAAACCTGGCTGTTCCTGCAGATCTTGAATTAGGGTAGTTGTCAAGGTCCTTTAGTCTGGGTTTAATATGGAAGACGAAGTATTTGTCTGGGCTGCTGATGTCTTTTTTGATATTGTGCTTTTGTTGTCTTCTTTGTGTTGTCTTTTTGATACTCTCTCCCTGTTTAAATGTATAAGTCACCCACAATCTTTTTGGAGTCAAGCAGTTCTAGAAATTGAATAATTTATTGAACTGAAGTGAATACTTTACTTGGCCAAGTGTGATTGGACAAGGAATTTGTCTCCAGTGCAGAAGCTCTCAGGGTATATGTAAAGCAACAGAATAATAATAATAATAATAATAATAATAATAATAATAATAATAATAATAATAATAATAATAATAATAATAATAATAATAATACCAATAAGAGGGGGGGAGTAAAGAAGATAACAAGAAGGATAAATAATTATACTAGATAGATAGATAGATAGATAGATAGATAGATAGATAGATAGATAGATAACAGTGTTGTGATGCTAAAATATTTTATTTATTATTAAATATATGCTGCCCATCTTGCTGTCCAAATATCTTAATGTGTAATGCTGCTTGGATTTTTTATTTACTTTGGTTATTTTATCTTTGACTTAACTTTAATCAACAACTGTACACTTTTCAAATCATAGGTATTTTTACTGAAAAAGGACTGCAACAGGAAATTTCTCCTGTTCTGCATTATCATATTCTCAAACTGGCTCTTGAACTGCCTGCAAATAAGTTTTCCTGGTTCAGAATACAGGTAAGAGTGATATCTATGATGTTTAGATATGTGTCTGTGTCTGTATTTATCACCAGTTGTAGGCTGTCCCCATTGCTGTGCTGACTTTCTATGTCTCTGCCATCTCTGTAATGCTGTATAAACATCATTTGAAAAGAGATTTTTGCATTATTTAAGGTTCTGTTTACACTACATAAGAGGAAATTTGGTCCTTGAAGTGGTAAAATCTACAGCAAGCAAGAACCTAAATCTGGCAGCAGTGATATTGCTGTCTTGGGGGGGGGGGGGGGGACTCTTTGAAGCTGGAAACATGGAACATAAAAAGCATGAACATGGGAAAGCTCACCATAGTAAAAGATTAAATGAACGAACGAACGAACTTCACATTGACAATTTACGCCTCAACAAATTGAAATGGATTAGTGAGCATTTTTCAGTTAGAAGAACATACTACCATACTTACTAAGGATATAAGACACAAAAGGGTATTGAATTCATTGTTGGAAGATTGTTGCAAAAACAGTACTTGAATACAGTGAAATCAATGAGTGAGTAATACGAATTAAACTTTGCAGACAATCTTTAATGTGGCAATTATCCAAGTTTATGCTCTAACCACTGATGCAAGAAGTGGAGGTTGATGAGTTCAATTTGAAATCAACAACACTGAGATCATACAAGCAAAATATGCTGCTTGCGGTTGGAGATCGGAATGCAAAGTTGGAAATAATGAGAGATCGTAATTGGACTGTATGACCTAGGAAACAGGAAGCAGGAGAACACTTACTGGTTTCTGCCAATCTAACAATTACTTTAGTTTCAGCAACCAAAATTATGTCTGTGTATATGGACCTCCCCAGATGGAAGTAAACAGGAATAAAATGGACTATATAGATGCAAGGAAGTAAAAGAAGTCAGTTATAACAGTGAAGATATGGCCCGGGGTGTTGTAGAAAACATCACAAACTGCGCATGTGCAAGTCAACCTAAACAGAAGAATAAAGTCTACTAGCCTTTTGAACATATACTCACCATTTTGAAGAACGTTAGAAATTGCTTTAAAGTCCTGAAATTGCTTTAAAGTCCTGAACATTATTGAGAGGGAACCATAATGTGAAATGCAATTTTAAAAAATTAGGAATAAATATGAAGAGATTGCTACAAAGATGAAGAAGAAATTAGATGAAATTAGATTTAGAGCAAATTGCAAAATTTGCCTTGGAGAGAAAAACCAACACTAAGAAAGCCAAAGATATCAGGAAGGCACATAACAAAGAACTTCAGAGAGCTGTTACAAGAGACAAGGAGCAATATTACTACCACATGTAAAGACGGTAAAAATGAAAATAGATAAGGAAAAAGAAAGAAAGGCTTCTGAAAGATCTCTGAACTCAGAAGGTGATGCCAACCTTGAATTGGTATACTAAAGGGTGTCCATGAACAGATAGTAATTGATTAAAAAATCCAGTCTATATGCCAATACCAAAGAAGGGCAAAATGTTAGTAGCTTTCTTTATACTAGTGACAGAATTCTAATACCATGTTTCCCCGAAAATAAGACCCTGTCTTATATTTTTTTGAACTCTGAAATAAGCTTGGCCTTATTGCCATGCTCTCAAAAGCCCGATTGGGCTTATTATCAGGGGATGTCTTATTTTGTGGAAAACAGGGTAACAATATGCAAATGACCTGCAGGCTTTAGTAATGAAAGTCAAGAAGCACAGTGAAAAAAATTGGACTAAGTTTAAATATGAAAAAGACTAAATTAACAGGTACAAATAATCCTCAGTTTACAGTTTCACTTAAGGCAGAAATGCTCAAATACTCAAATTATCCTAGTTTGGACACATTATGCAAAAGTCTTACTCTCTTATAAATTCTATAATGTTTGAAAGTGGGAAAGAAAGAAGAAGAGGGAGACCAGCAGCATTATAGATGGACTTAATTACAGCGGCACTGTGTACATTGTTGGAACGTTATTATATTTTATTTATTATATAGAATGCATTTATATGGCTTTCCATCTCACAGGGAGTGACTCTGGCCAGTGTATCATGTTGGAGAAATGATCAGCTTGTAGGAAATATGTCTGAGGGCACATAGTCAAGGGTTGCCAAGATTTGCAGGCTTCTTTACTGTTTTGTGACATTTTGATTGGTCTTACAAAGATACATTTGTACATAAGGTATTTTGCTTTTAGAAAACAGCACATTGTTTGTTGTTCCTCCAATTCAAAATATGGAATGTGAAAATATTGATTCATGCTATGCTTCATTACAGGTAGTCCTCGGCCTACAACAATTTATTTAGTGATTGTTCAATGCTACAACGGCACTGAGAAAAGTGACTTATTACCATTTTTCTCACTTACAACCATTGCTGGATCCCCATGGTCATGTGATCAAAATTCAGTTGCTTGGCAGCTGAGTCATATTTATGACCATTGCAATGTCCCAAGGTCATGTGATCCTCTTTTGCGACCTTACAAGCAAAGACAATTGGGAAGCCAGATTAATTTAACAACCATGATACTAACTTAATAACTTCAACAATTCACTTAACAACTGTGGCAAGAAAGGTCATAGAATGGGGCAAAATTAACTTAACAAATGTTTCACTTAGCTGTTCTGACCTAGGCTTCCTTAGAAAGTATAAAGCACAATCTTAGTCCCGTCAAAACCTCTTTTATTTACACAGCTGTGAATTATTGTCATTCACAGTCCGCAAGGCTTCACAAATAGTCTTTCGGGGAATGTTTATAAATACCCACCTTATCTCGCTTGGAATGCTACCAGAGAACTAATTGCCAAATATAGGGCAAGGCCAAATTTGGCACAGAGTCAAACAGAACTTTTCAAAGCTTGAACCGACCAGATGAACTAATTGCTTCCTGCAAAAGCTCACGTCCCGATCGCTCCTCTTTTATGTCTTATGGGAGGGGCCAATCATCTCCAAGCCTTACTCCCAAGTCGACCCTATTTTCTTAATTGTTCTTGTCTTCTGGCAGTTCTGCACATGCACACACTGGGAACAGGCTCCCGCTGTTCTTCTGCCTCGCTGATGTCAAACTCCGGAGGCTCTGGAGGCAGCACATAACTATCAGATGGCCTTGGCCCTGTCTCTGCCTCCAATGCAGAGCCCTTGTCCGAGCTTTCCTCAACCCCCAGGACTGGCCCAAGTTCCTCCCCAAGTTCCTCACTGTCCGACTCTGCTGCCAGCTCTCCTGGCTGCCAGCGGGCCACAACATTAGCAACAGAAATTTTAGCCTCAATTGTGGTCATAAGTCGAGGACTACCTGTATTTATCTGGTCCTGCTATACACTTATTTAATGTATTTATTGTATGTATTTAATGTAAAATATTAGTTACTGTGGTGAGAACTAGAATAATCCAACTATAACCAATGCAAATGCAAATGTGTTCTTTTAGGATGCATCTGAGAAGGTTTGTGGTGACAGATCTGTATTTTACCTACTGATGAAAATGTTTGTCACCAGCCCCCATTCACAACTCAAAATAGCAACCAAGAAATTGATTTTTAAGGTGAGTTATTATTTGTCTCGTGAAAGCAGAGATCATGCCATAGAAACTGATCTTTCCTGATTAGGTTCCATTCCACATACCATTCCTTATACATAACCGGCATCATCTGTAGAACTATTTGTAAGCCTTGGATTTGGAAATGTTGCCTTAGAAGGTTGGGTTTAGAAGTTAGCAATATAAGCAACCCCCTTTTTTATTTTTTGAAGAACATACCACTTGCTATTTGAATGTACTGTACCCAGATGAGGATCCATTAACAGTTTTAAAAATTATATGGGTTTTTTTCAGTCTTGGACAACAACTACACAATTCCATATGGGTTTTTTTTGGCAACATTTTTGGAAGTGGTTTGCCACTGCCTTCTTCCTAGAGAGAGTGACTTTCTGCTAAGGTGGGACTAGAACTCACAATCTCCTAATTTCTAGTCTGGTCTCTTTAGCCATTGTACCAGACTGGCTTATGAGGTTGAAATATGATCTTCTGCTTGGCATGTCAAACATCTCCAGGCAGTGTTCAATATTAAAATAGCTTTTATATAAAAGATAAAGTATGTACAGGTAGTTCTTGTGGTCATTAAGTGAATCCAGCCCTCCCCCCCCGACTTTGCTTGTCAGAGGCCCTCTGGGAAGACATGATTCATTTAATAACTGCATGGCTTGCTTAATTATGGCAAAAAAGTCATAAAATTGGATGCAATTTGATATACAGTAGTTGCTCTGACAATAATATACGTACAAGTGGCTTGCTGCTACCTTTTTTTCAGGATTTATTTTTCTATTTCCAACCATAGCAATGGATTTTATTGGTGGTCTCCTATTTCAGGATCAGCCACTTAGTTTAGTCACAATAAACCATGGTTTGCTAGATGTTTTTAGATGTCTATGGAGACTCTCAGTCATCTAAAGGTGCTTTTTCAGGAGGCAACTGGACTTTCTTGTTTTTCTTTTGAAGACATTTTGCGAAGCTTCTGAAGCTTTTTCAACTCTTGACTGGATGGTGGGGAATGGAAGGATTTATAATCCTTGCAGACAGCTGGTCATTTGCATTTTTAGAGAGTCATTGAGGCCACTTGGAAGTTATCTGTGTCTTCAGGGTCACCTGAGTAGTGCAAATGTGTGTGGAGCCTTCTTGGCTGCAGGATGTTTTCTGCCCTGTGTCCCTTCACTGTTCAAGACAGGTGCAGGCTGTTGGGGATGAGTTTGTGTTGTCTGCATCTCAAACTGAAGTGCAAATTGTTCCTGTAGTCTGCAATTTTTCTGGAAATCCATTCATACTCCTTCACCATTCAAAGGGTGTTCATCCCAAAGTGAATAGCTAAATGTCTATGGAGATTCTCAGTCATCCAGGTCCTGGTTGTCACAAAGGTGCTTTTTCAGGAGGCAACTGGACTTATTGAAGCGAAACGTCTTCAAAAGAAAAACAAGAAAATCCAGTTGCCTCCTGAAAAAGCACCTTTGGTATAGGGCTTTTTGATTACATTGACAGAAATATGAGATAAGTTCTTAATAGAAGCTACTATTTGTTTGAATATAAAGGCTATATTTAATATTTTAGTGTCTGCTGCATAGTCATTCAGAAATAAACTTCACTTAATTAAATGGCAGCCCCTTTTTAATATATGCTTAGAATTGCGGCTTTAAAAAAGAAGCAGTAGGGCTGAAAACCATCTGAGGGAGATGGGTGGTTAAAAAGTATGAAAAATAAATATCGCAAACATGACAACTTCTTTTTTAAATTCAGCTGCAATGTTGTGGCCCGGTATCTAACTAAATTTCAGTGAACTCCATGGAACTTATTAGGATATTTTGGACTGTTAACTTACTAATTAAATTGATAAATGTTTTCAGCCTCAGTATAACAAAAGTGACATATTGTTGGGACTGTTTAAAAGGAAAGGCTTTGCCTTGACTTTTTCAATTAAGACTTTTAATTCAACTATTTTTGGCAAAGAATTAGTTGGTTACTTTTATTGTTCCCAATCAGGGTCCATAACCATTGGAACAGGACATAGTTACTGACTGGGTTCATATATCAGGCAAATATATAGCTTATTTTAACTATGGTTTGCTGAATGATAATCAATGGCTAGATTTACACCTTATACTAAGTATTATTATTTAGTAGTTAGATTTGCATGTTACAAAAACCATATAAATTAGATGATAACTTAGTTTGATATGTGAAACCAATTATGCATCTAAGCAAGTAATTTTTTTTCTGAATAATTTCAACAAGGATGTATTCAAGTTTCTTTATTCTACATTCGTCATATCCATTTAACATGAAATATTTACTTTTATAAACTATACCTCTCTTTAGCGCCTATCAGCACATGCAACCCTTGCATTTACATTTCAGTGAGCAATCCTCCATTTTTTAATAGACTGTCCTATCAACTGTTCTGTCGATAATAGGAACAAATTTATTTCTTTATTTGGGTTTCTTTCAGCAAGTAAGTAAAATAATAATAATAATAATGTGGGAAGCTTCCACCCTGCTGGCTCCACGGATGCCAAGTTTTGTTTCCTATACAATGCTGGCATGCCATCCTTCAGGAGCCATTGTTTGCATAGTCTCAAAGTGGCAAGCTGTGAATGCCTTCTTTAGCTTGCCAAGGGTTGTTTCAATTGTATGGTGGCAGTGAGATTCATTAGCAAATCTGCATTTAACATTTGCACAGCTGTTGGATCAGTGCGTGGAGTAATATACAGAATGTTCTCTAGGACTGAACTAAAACTGGAAGATGCATTTGTGGTGAACCTTTGGGAATTTGAGGTTTTCTTTTCAGCAGCCTCTGGATGTGGAGGAGAGATAGTAATTATTTCCCACTCTCTGTCATCTGATAACTAGATGCTAAAGATAGGCGCTAAGTTCTTATAAACATTCCGATGACTCATTTTGTAAGCTATCATAAAAAGCAAATAAATTGCTTGCTTAACATTCAACAACTGCTTTCTTATAAACAAGTAACAGTTTGGATGGAAGCACAATTCTTGACTATTGAACTGGGTTGAAGAAATACTTCTCGAGAACCTGTTTGGTCATACGATTCTCTAATAGAGATGCATGTGTGAAAGCTATATATGTTTAGACAGGTTGTTGGTGATTACCATTGCTTTTGCATCTATCTTAGAGGTATAAGTTGCAGTTTGCATTAATTGCTGGTACAAACAAAAACCAATTTTCTGAAATGATATAGGTAATGTAAAATGGTGAGAGAGGAGAAGCAGAAGGCTTTCACAATTCTTTAATAGAATCTGTATTATAGGACAATACACTGTTTTTAGCAAAGCATAACAGACTTTTATGGAAAAGGTCATGGTAAATGACTAATCTGCCATTAGCTTTTATTAGCAGTGTAAAAAGTTGCTGTACAGAAATAGCAGCTAAAATGTATGTATAATACTTGTTTTCTTAATAGGTTTTGCACGACAGTGGAGTATTTGAGTACACTGGGAAGGAACTTGAACTGTGGCTCAGTCATTTGGATAATACAGTTGAAGCCAAAAAGGAAATCGTGATTCAGTTTTTGGAAAGGGTAAACAATATGCTAATTAATCAGTTTAACAATGCCAAGAGTAACATTTTGCTAATAGCAAAATCTTTCAAAAGTTATGAATGAATTATAGGAACCTGACATTTTGTAGTCAGGGAAGATGGAACAAAGAAAGTGAGATAAACAAAGATTTTGTTAGAGATTTATATCTTACTGACAAAGGCGTAGGCTCTCTTTTCCTATACACATGATATTGTTTTATGTGGCATAAAGTTAACAAAGGACATTGGAAAGAATGGCACATTATGTAAACTTTGCCTTAATTCTCCCAGTGACATTTTTGATGTACATATTACTTCCTCCCCCTTGTGAAAGCAGTAATTAAATTTGACATGCAGGAAAGACCTAATACAGCCCTGAAGGATTACTTCTCAAACAGCTCACTGATTAAGAATAATAGTACTTTGACCTCTCTTCAGATCTTATAAATCTTTTGTTTTACTAAAGAACAATAAATAATCTGCTAATTTTTCTTATAGAATTAATTGATTAAAGATGACTAAAAATAAATTGCTATTTTCAAAGGTAGCCCAAAATATTCAAGAATAATCCATTTAGAAGGAAGAGTGGAAAATAATAACAGCAATAATAATAATAATATACACTTAGTTTTTATTTCTATATTATATATTTAATTAAGACTTGGAATTACCAGAACATGAAATGAGTTTGCATATGTAGTGCAATTACAGCTGGGTTCACACATCACACTTAATCCTGCTTAGTTCTTACCATGGCTTATTAAATATATTTAATTTAAATTGATTTAAGTTGTCTCAGTCCAGTTCAGTAAACCACAAGCTATTTCCTTATGGTTAGTATAATGTATGAACTTGTATCTAATTATAGTTTAGTAATTGCAAAAAAAATCAAAACCTCACAAAGTGATATATGGGCATTTAGATCTTAAAGTGCCACAATACAATTTGGTTTATCATTGTTACCTTTCTCGGTTAAATTGTGTTTTGATAATAAAAAGGCTGTAGAATCATTCAAAGGATTATCAGGAAATTATTTTGATTGATATAAACTTTTGCAAAAAAATAATAATTGCGGAATCTACTTGAAGAATAAAGTACCAATATGGGTTTCTGAAATCTGACTGCTTTCCTTGTATTTTTATTCGGCTGAGTTACATGAATATGACATCAATTGCTTTTACAACCAACACACACTACTGCAATCTCTTTCAAAAATGGATTTGATTTTTTTTTTATTATAGAAAAAACATCCAATCTCTCCTTTGGATGATTAAAGAATTTATTCTCTATAATACCTTGATTTCAAATGCCTTATTTTCTATTCATCTTTTCGTTCCCTTTTCTAGGTCTTGGTCAAAGTGGTAACCAACCCATATCCATATACGGATAAAGCAGCTGACTTTGTTCAAGAAGCAAGCATTCTTCAGGTCAACTTATTTAAACAAGATGTTGATAATATCAGCATACCCATTTCTCATATTGATGGTAAACCCAATTCTTTCAAAATTATTCTCCTAATCTAGCACTAATATTCTTGGAAATTTACAAAAAAGCAACATTTTAAAAAAAGGCCACCAATTATAAAATCTCGTATAAAGTTAAAGCCATTAATTAATATATTGCATATCTACTGGGAACAAAAGATTGTTTTAGTTTCCATTTACTGATACAGATTTTTAGGATTTTCTGGATTTAAAAAAAAATTGTGCATTAGTTTGCTTTTGATAATGTAGATCCCAGGGATTTATTTTTACAAGGCTTCTTCCAAACTTTGGTAAGGAACCGTAATCAGGTTTCCACATCATACTTGATAAAGAAATGCTCTTTTTCCTGTTGCTACACCAATGGGAAGTAACATGCATTGGATTTGGTCAAAACAAAGTACAATAAATTGGAACAGATTTTCATTTAAATTAGTGGATGAGATGGGTCTCAATAAACTTGATGTCAAATGTGGGTTTCTATGAAGTTTCAGTTCCAGTAACTGCTGTAATTGTTTTACAATAGAAATTGTAAAGTATATATTCTTTATTTTCTTAATAATATTAAAATTCTTAATAATATTTACAAATAATATTGTATGTTACTATAAAATATTTAATTGTTAAATAAAATGTGAAATGTTAATTGTTAAAAAAGTTACTACTTGCCATATTATTTTAAATTAAAAATTTGTAAGAGATTCTATATTCATATGGCATATGTTAATACTACACGTTATTTTCTTTCTATAAAATTAACAGTTATAATCTCTTTCCTTAGAAGGTTACCTCGTTTGCTGCTGTATCATAGAAATATCTTTTTATATAATTTTTTTCCTTACTAAACTAGACGTTCTAGATATGATTGATGTCCTTGTGGAAGACACAGAAGGTTTAAATGAAGAAATTGGATGTACTTTAAGTGAGGACATGATTGTGAACACGTTTCCATTTAGTGCAATCGTCCCAGCTTCTTTAGAAGCAAGAAATAAGTTACTTCTTGATGAAAACACAAGAGGTATTTTTGCTTTTCTGTAATTTCTATCCTGCTTTTTCACAAAAATAATGATAATCAGCCTTCTCCTAAAATGCATTTAACATATTGAAAATTCTTGTAAAAGCACATATAAAAGGGGAACTTGCACATAAGCAGCTAAAAAAACCCTAATGTTCAATTTCACAATCAAAATCAAGAAGCTGTTTGATTTTTATTGTGAAAAGTAAACGACATGCAGATAACTCTACAGATAATCATGCAATTTTTAATCTTCCTAATAGAAGTTTGCTGAAGGTGCTCTCTGAATTTGAAGCCTTCAGTTTCAGAAATCACAAGCATTTAGTTTTGTTATAGTTATTGTTTTGTCTTTATAGAAGAAAGTATTGTGGAATATCTCATTGCTGTGTTCACTGACCTCCTGAATTCTCAACGAGATCCTTTAGCCCTTTGCCTGATGTTTCAACATTATGATAAAGAACTTCAGTCTGTAACTGCTCAGCTTTGTCAGTTCAACTGTTACTATAATCTTTGGATACCACAACAAGTTAAGGAAGCTTTGGTAAGCAAGCCAAAATGTATACTAAACAGCATAATTTGGTGTTAGTTAATATTATAACACATAGGAGAATTATACGTAGCAAAACATGCTCAAATTTAGTTATACAATTTGAAATTCAGACATCCTGTTAGCTTGCTCTTTTTTGATGCATCTTTTTTCATCACCAATCAGTGGCACTGTGGAACTGTGTGATGAAAAGTGATGTCTGATATATATATATTTTCAAAACATTATTATAAGTGAGCTCATTTAAGTCTGATAGCAGCAAAACCAGGCTAAATCAGCCCTGTTTTTTTCAGTCAACAATTCTTCCTGTCCATGGAATTGCTTTTAGATTATTTAGATTTATTTTTTATATTGATTTTCCTAGAAAAATAATACTCACAAAATGTGGGGTGCTTGGTGCTCTCTGAGCTTGGTTGTTTTCTTGCAGACATTTCATTACCCAAACCAGGTAATATGGAGCTAGGGAGCACCAAGGCGGAATGGGACCTTCAGGCTCCCACCCTTGGCCATGCCTCCTTTGCCTCCCACCTCAGCCCATTTACAGACAGTTTTCTTCCTCTGCTGGTCTTCCCCTGACCATTTGCCCTGGCCAATGGGCCTCTGGCCCTCCGGCCGTCCACCCTGTGCCCTTCAGCCCGGCCCATTCGCCAAGACACTGTTTGTCCTGGGCCTTTGGCTACATGGGACAATTAGCCACCACGCAATTGAGTGGCAGGCAGAAGCCATGGTGCTTCTGCTTGCCACTGTGCAATGAGCAATAGGTGATAGCAGGGGTTGTAGAGCTATGGGGAAGGTGAAGCTGCCGAATGGTGGTGGGGCACAGCTTCAGGCAGGGGAGAAAGTGGCTTTTGGCATGGGGGCATGGCAGTCAAATGGCAACGGCTCACAGCTTCAGGCACGGGGGGAAACGGCTACTGGCATGGGGGTGGGTGCAGCAGCTGAACTGCAGAGGCTCATGGCTTCAGGCACAGGGGAAAGTGCCTTCTGGCATGTGGGGGTACGGCAGTAGAACAGCAGAGGTTCATGGTTTCAGGCATGGGTTAGGGTAAGGAAGGAAGGGGAAGGAGGGAGGGAGATTGCATGGCTTCTGCCTGTCACCTGATTGGGTGGCGTCTAATTGTCCCATGTGGCCAAAGGCCAGGGACAAACAATATCTTGGCAAATGGGCTGGGCCAAAAGGTGCAGGGTGGAGGGCCAGAGGCCCATTGGCTAGGGCAAATAGCCGGGGAAGGCCAGCTGAGGAGGAAAGCTGGCTGTAAATGGGCTGAGGCTGGAGGCGAAGGAGGCATGGTACAGGGTGGGAGCCTGAAGGTCCTAGACCCCACCAAGGACCCCTCATTTCAATCCTAAGGTACAAATGTTCTCCTTTATTGGAATAACAATATGTGTTTTGTTACAGATTTTGATGTAAGAGCACATTGTTCTTTTAAAAGCTAAATTGAAAAGAAATCTGTCTGAAAGCTTAATCCAAAACAGAGCTAGCAACTAAAACTTAAATTTCACATAACTTTGACCTTAATTTCAGGGCTGTTTGGAGAAATTAGAAAAAAGATGAGGCAACTGATCAACATTACTTTGGTATATGTTTTGTGACACTGCCTGCATGTACACAAATTTTAGAGAGCAAATTTGGTATAGTGGTCAAGGCATCAGGCTAGAATTTGGGAGACCATGAGTCCCATCTTAGTCATGAAGGCCAGATATAAGTGACCTTGATCCAGTCATATTCTCTCAGCCCTAGGAAGGAGGTAGTGACAAACCGCTTCTGAAAAACTTTGCCAAGAAAACTGCAGGAACTTGTCCTGGCAGTCTCCAAAAATTGGACACAACTGAATGGGGAACAAAACCCCATACAAGTGAGTTTGTGTTTCAGTAGCCTGATGCTGCTTTTGTCATTTTGATGTCTTTGCCTAATTTCAAAAGCCTCCTACAGGCAGTTTAGCTCTCTGGCAAGAGGAGTTGGTTCCTCTTCCAAGCTTCTTCTGTTTAGGTAAAAGATATTGGAGTACAAACAGTTTCCTTTACATACATGTAATTGTATTTTCTGTTGTTCTTACTCAGTTCCAGCAAGACAGGAACAAGAGTGTGGATGAGGTGTGGTCATCAGATTCCTCCTTTTTTACCTTGTTAAAAAATAGCTATCAGAAAGGTGTTGCTGTTTTACTGGACGAGGATATTCAAACAAAGCTAAATGAAGCTATTTCCCAGCTCCAACCTCAGCAGCTCTCGTTGGCTTTAAAACATGTTCTTCTGTACCTAAAAACTACTGTGGAGAACTTCGGCAGTGTGAGCTATTTTTCTTCTTGTTTTTTTGAAAGCAACTTTAATAGTTACGTACAGTCCCTTTCATTAAGGACCACCTCAACTTTAGATGACAGCAAACATGCACTTTCTGAAGCAGGTGTACTGTATGTAGCTAAAAAAAATACATATAATCTCTTGATTCAGGCTTCTAAGATACATGCTTGTAATAGTGTCCACTTGTAAGCGTTGATTACAGTGTTGAATGGAGATGCAAAGTATGTTGCACAGACTTGCAAAGCAAATAAATGGAGCCTATATATGATAATTAATATGTCCCTTTGATAAAATATATAATTGTTTTGTTTTCAATCCCCCATTTTTTTTTCTTCACTTAGAAATGTCTATCCTTTTTCCAACAGTTGGGCAAGAATTCTGGCCTTTCCCTTGTTACTGTCTACATGGATTTGTTGAAGAGCTTGTTGCGCAAAGGTGATGATACAGAGTTGCGTAGTCAGCCTGAGCAGAAAAATACCCAGATTGAACCTGAACTTTTTATGGAAGCAGAAATTTTGATACAAGACTCTGAGAATGACAAGGTGCTAATTTTTCTGTGTGGATATTCTGGAGAAAAAAAAACTTCATGCATGCTCTTTACTGTGCATTTACATGGACAAAATCCATGAGAGAGAATTTTTTTGCTTAAAATGAGTCATGAGTGCTTATGTTCTGAGTACAATGAGAAAAAAAAAATCTCTCATGCACTGGTTTTGTTAGATAGTAATCTAAACATTAAATTCATGACATGATACTCTGTATTTAGCCTACATATTTCAAAATGTGCCATGGTCCTGGTAGGACATGCAATTCCTGGTAGAGGAAGATGTGCCCTCTAAGATTGATTATACTGAGTTCAAGTAAGAATGTACCATATTTTTGGTGTATAAGATGCATTTTCCCCCTCCCCCCAAAAGTGGGTGGAAATGTCTATGCGTCTTATACAGCGAATGTTGCTGAAGCCCCGCCCACCCACCAACCTCCACCCTTCGGCCTCTGCCTCCCAGCAGTTTGTCTCCTTGCAGCAAACAGCAAACAGCCTGGTCAGCTTCACCACAGCCTGATTTAGCATGAGCAGCTGATTGGCAGTTGGATCTGCCCCCCGGAATGCCACCTATTAGCTTTTCCAGGCTGCGAGGATCATAGCCGCCATTGCCACCCATTGCCGCTGCCGCCTATCACCACCTCCGCACGCCCAATTTTCGGGCTCTGCATGTCCCATTTGTGGCCTCGAGGTGGGGATCGCTTATCCCCGTCGCCTGGAACAGACTGAAAATGGGGCGTGCGGAGGCCAAAAATGGGGTGCACAAAGGCAGTGATAGGCAGCAGCGGCAATGGGTGGCAACAGTGGTGATGGGCAATGGCGATCCCTGCAGCCTGGAACAGCTGATGGGAGGTATTCTGGGAGGCAGATCCAACCACCAATCAGCTGCTTGTGCTAAATCAGGCTGTGCTGAAGCTGACCAGGCTGTTTGCTGCTTGCTGCAAGGAGGCAAATTGCTGGGAGGCAGAGGCAGATTTTTTTTTTTCTTATTTTCCTCCTCAAAAGCTAGGTGCGTCTTACAGTCTGGAGCATCATATAGTCCGAAAATTACGGTAACGGTTTATACACTGCTTATAGTTGGTCAGTATATAGCAAAATACCAGAGATAGCTTTATATAATCATAGAATGATAGGGAACGTATAAGCCATTGTGTGCAACACCCATTTCAGTCCAGAAATCCAGATTAAAGCATCCTTGACCTCTGTTTAGATTTCATTTCAGCATAGCCTGTGAAGAGGAACTTGGCACCTCCCTTAGAAATTGGTTTTGCAGTAAAACATTTACTGTTTAAAAGTAGTTCTTTTTTGTGGAACCATTTTCCTCAATTTTTCAGTCAAAGTTTTTGATAAATATTCTTTTTCAATTTGATATATATTACTCAGGCTGAATGTACTATCAGGTGTAAGCTTTCAGATCCCACTCTTAATCATACTAGAGAAGGTTGTTGCTTTCTTACTGAGTAAGTGAATTTTCCTAGGGATCTACCATCGTTAGCAACAGTGAAAAACAGAATGCTGATCAGACACTGATCTAATGCAATAAAGTTCTTATGTTTATTGGACAAAGTCTTTTATTGTAATTATTTCTATTTTAGATCATGGAAGAGATGCTCTCTTTGGTCTTCAAACACCCTATCCTAGAAAATTGGTTCCTGGCTATAGAACAACATTCCCTCCCTCCACACAGTCTTAATCCAATTAAAGTAAAACTGCTTTCAAGTCATCTAAACCGCAACATTCTTGACTTGTTGAAAATGAGTTGTCCATTGCTACAGTTTAGGAATCAGCTAGATATACTCTACAGATATTTTGAAGCCATCACAAAGACTGTTTTGGAAGAACTGCACTGTGGTGGAAAAGAAGGATGCAGAATATCTCCCAAAAAATCTCTGCAGATAGAGGCTTTACAAGAGCTGCACATTTATATGAATACGGACCAGCTGAAAGAAATCATGCTACAACTTTGCAAGGCCAACCTAAAATCTGAAACTTTAGCTGGAAAAAAAATCTGTCTGAACATTCATGGACAAACTTTGATGCAGCTGCTCACAGATGTCTACCAGAGGGGTTCTCTGAAAGGAGACTCCTTTTTTTCAAGAGAGCACATTCAAGGAATGAGCATTCTGTTGTCTGCATCTATCACTGAAGAATTGGAAAAGGTCTTTATGTGTATGATACAGAAAGAACCTATCTTTGCCCAGGCAGTTGACATTGATGTGCAGCTTTTGTGCCTTAAGCATTCCACAGAAATTTCTCTTTCTATTGTAGCTTTATTGATTCAGTACTCTCACACTCATTTGCTACATTTTGAGCTTTGGTGTCTGAAGAGCAGTACAAGCAAATTTCTAAAAATGAATGCAGCCCTTTTTATGCCCCTTGTTAACGTGTATTTGGACTGTCAAGAGAAGCAACATTTCAAATGCTTATCAAAAGGTAATCATGCCAGCTGATTTTTAACACTACTCTATAACCATATTATGAGTGCCTCGGGAATAATATGTTAGCCTTTTAATCTTAACATTGTTAAAAAAGTAGGACATTGAAATATTCTTTTATTTCTGATTCATTTATTTTTTGAATATTTTGTTTTGCATTTCTTGCTTTGAAGCCATCTACTAGGCTGATTTGTGCTTCTATAATATTGCCTAGAATAAATGATGCAAGGAGCATTTATCTAGATATTATTCAGTTAGCTTTTCTGTGTAGTATCATGAACCTTCTTTCCAAGCAAATAAGCATTTCTCCAGATACAGTTCTGTCTTGGCTAGAAATCCTACTCTTCTGTTGAGTCTATATTTAAGAAGCTCTTCTTAAGATTTAAGTTTGTTACTGTGGGCCCTGGTGCATACATAATCCCCTGAATTTTGGAAATGTTGATTTGTTCCTTTGTACTTTAACTTTGTATCTTGTTTTCAGCTGTTAAGTCTGTCTTGAGAGAAGCTTTATGGCCAGAACTGCTGAATAATCTTTTGAAAGTGGATTCATCACAGCCATCTACTATGGAATGTCATGTTCTTTCCAAATTATTGCCACTATCCGATACAGAGGCATTTACTGATTTAACAGAAAAACTAACTCTAACTCTTGAGAGACTTGGAAATCATGAACAGTAAGGTTACATAATTTCTAGCTGTGAAAGAATTATGCACGTGAACAATTTAATATTTATTTTTTATTTTAAAACAAGAGTAGAGATTCAGGATCCTTTTTGTAGTGTATTTTGAAGTGTGGATGAAAATCATAAAGTTTAATGTAGATATATAATAGTTAAAGGAACTAAGCCCACTTTTTCCCTCATGTGGGCCAGTCCACCTTGCTGCCTTCTACTCGTTTAGCAATAGACATTTTGGGCTCAATTGTGGTTGTAAGTTGAGGACTACTTGTAGTTAAATTGAGTTTATATAATGAGATAAGGTTGGGGGCATGTGAAGAATTGAAAGAAGAATTGAAATAGACATTGCTTCTGCTCTGTTACTCTTTTCAACCTCTCCAGGTGGATAATTGCTGATGCTGTATCAAGAGCTCTGGAGACTTCTGCAGAAAAAGTGCATTCATGGGGGAAACATCTACTAGTTACCTGTATGAAGTGGTTGATCCTGTCCTTCAGTAGTAGCCAAGAGCAAGAAACATATTCAGAAGTGGAGAATACTATGCTATTGAAGCTAGAAAACCTGTTGGTGAGGATTGGGATTTTCCATTCATTTGTATATTAATTTATTAAGAAATGGTGAAGTATCAGGCAAAAGATGCTGAATACAGCAATACATTTCAGGTTTTTTTCATTAGGAAGTGTATATCCATAATGGATCCATAAGTATACAAATAATTGCAAATGCTAGTTTTTCAATTTTGCTAGAATTTTGGAGAGCATGGACCCACTATGGTTATACCCACTATGGTTACTCCAGATGGGTTTCCAAATGTTACCAATTTCCTCTATAGCTGTGCATTCTATTAAAGAAGACAAGTAATATACTGTCAGTACTTCTAACTTTTCTAACCTTCTAACTTTTCATAAATTTCTATTAAGAAGCAACTACTCAAAAGTTTGATTTGATAGTGTTTTTAATTATGAAAACATGAGATTGAAAAAGGTAGGAATGCAAGTTATTTGCTATTACACTTAACATCATTTGCAAACTCCTTCATATAGCATTAAAATTCTCTACTGTAGTACTTTCCCTTTAAAATTTATGAAAATTGTTAATCATGGACGGAGATTTAATTCACACAAAACTTTATTGTAAATGATAGAAGAAACATCATAGGAACCAATACACACTTTCTAAAAAGTGTTACGCCAAAAATTTTAATATTTGTCAGTTTGCTGCATTAAATTCATGAAGAAAGGATGGGATTATTCTTTTCACAGAGTGCAGAGACCTCCTTTTGAATGATCTCTCTTTCTAGTTTAGGCCAATAAGTTCTGAAAGCTTTATTATATTGCAGTGTATGATATATTATTTTTTCTTGTTTATTCAGAATTCAGTAACTCAAGTGGTTCCAGACGACTGGAATAGTTTTGTGAAGCTGGGGCTCAAGTAAGCATATTTATGTTTATAGCAATGATGCATTTTTTCAGATAGCCAAGCTGAAAAATTATGAGAACACACTGCTTTAATATGAGATTCTCAGTCATCCAGGTCATGGTTGTCCCAAAGGTGCTTTTTCAAGAGGCAACTGGACTTTCTGCTTTTTCTTTGAAGACGTTTTGCTTCTCATCCAAGAAGCTTCTTCGGTTCTCCCTACTTCCAGTACTCCCTACTTCTACACAAATGAAGTGTTTTTGGTTATGCAAGCTATTTTACTGAATTATCTCTCCCTCTGTGTATTTAGAATAATTTCTGCACAGATTATATGCATGCAGAGAATTCAGTTTTCTGATTCTTCAGCCATTGGACGAAGAACTTGCACTATTTCAATCAACCTGAATAAAGTACAGGTTCCACTAAAATTCGTCACTTCTATAGTAATGTGAATATGAGATTAAATATTGACAGAAGTGACCATAGGGATGCATTGGTGTCAATATCTATGAAATATAACAACTGCCTGAATGCAAAATTGTTTCCTGATTATGGAATTTCTTTTAATTTAAGAAATAATACCTGATACATCTCGTTATTATCCTTTAAAGCTGAAACACACAATCTGAATACCCAGAACCCCGGAAACTCCTTGGTCTCTATAGATCTGCAAAAATTGCTATTAAATTATAATTGTTAATGTGGCAAACAAGGATAATTATGATATGATTGAATGGCTAGTCCTTGTTTAGCAACTCTTCACAGTTACAACAGCGATGAAGAAGTAACTTTTTGACCAGTCCTCGCATTTATGATCTTCCAAATTCTATAAACAAAGAACAATGATTTAAGCACAATTGCGATTTTGCTTAGTGATTTTTTCACTCAACAACTGAGTTGTGGCTTTCAATTGTGGTCACTAAATGACAAGTTCCTATTATATTAAGTATATTTAATTTTAATTAAATATAAAAATAATTTAAATAGTTTGATTTTTTTCTGGTCCAACCGACTAGGACAGGGGTATCAAACTCGCGTTGTCATGGCATCGTCATGTGATGTATCACAACTTTTTCCCCCTTTGCTAAACCGGGCGTGGGTGTGGCTAGTGCGTGACGCATCCGCCCACTGGCCACGAGTTTGACAGCCCTGCACTAGGAAGTCCAGCATGCAACTAAAAAGCCAAGTTCTGGAAAAATTAGTTACTGGATGAGTTGAATGACAGCTGTAATTATCCATTGAGTAACATGGGCAGGCAGATAGAATCTATTCTTTCTAGAGGGCTCCAGGTTGGGAAGGCAATTCAGAAGCACATTCATTGTTTCTACAGACCCCAAAATAATGTCAGCATGCAGAAGAACGTCTGGTATATATCTTTGCACAAGCTTGTTAGCAAAACAGTCTGATATTTGACTTAATGTCTTTTTAATTGTCATGCAGGTATCGTTATAAAGACCAAACTTTCCTGAAAACTCTGAATGCAGCTATAAATGTATTATACCAGAAAGAAAACTCTTTTAAAAAGAGATTAACCAAACCTGAAGTGCTTTATATGATGATCACGCAGCATTCACTGTTTTTGTCCACAATGCTGAGACCACAAGAAGGCAGCGACACAAATGCTCATCTAAGAGGTCTCTCTTTCTTTCTAGCTTCTTTGGTGTCTATGTATAACTTATATATTTGCAAATCATTTTCCCATACATTTTGTTTGTTACCCACCGATGTATTTTGGCAGTTGTATCTATCTAGTATGATCAGTTTTTTGTTTTTTTTAAATTTGATTTATATGCCGCCCTTCTCCGGAGACTCAGGGCGGCTTACAATGCGTCAAGCAATAGCCTTCATACTTTTGTATATTTATACAAAGTCAGTTTCTTTCATGATAATTTATAGACTCATACAGACAGCATACAAGTTTAATAAATTATTATAATGCTCAACTTAATTTGTCAGTGGACTTCAAAAAATGATTATATATGGTTATCATACAGTGCATTTTGCACTGTATGATAATCATACAGTGGTTACCAAATGTAGAAAGAGGAGGGAGTATGTGAGAGAAAAGTGAGAAATACTTTCTCTTCATAAAAACTGATTTCCCAGCAAATTAGTTTTCATCATTCTCTCAAGATCATTTTCCCAGAAGGTCCTGAACAAATTAAATTTACAGTTGCAAGAAAAAGTATGTGAACCCCTTGGGATTACGTGGAGTTTTGCATGAATTGGTCATAAAATGTGCTCTGAACTTCATCTAAGTCACAACAATAGAAAAACACAGTCTGCTTAAAATAATACTACACAAACATTAGATGTTGCCATGGTTTAATTGAACATAACATGTAAACATTCACAATGCAGGGAGGAAAAAGTATGTGAGCCCCTAGCCTAATGACTTCTCCAAGAGCTAATTGGAGCCAGGAGTGAGCCAACCTTGACTCCAATCAGTGTGATGATATTGGATGTGTTGCTGACAGCTGTCCTGCCCTTTAAAAACACACACCTGTTTTGGGTTTACTGGTTTCAAGAAGCACTGTCTGATGTGAACCATGCCTCGTAGAAAAGATCTCTCAGAAGACCTGCGATCAAGAATTGTTGACTTGCATGAAGCTGAAAAGGGTTACAAAAGTATCTCCAAAAGCCTTGATGTTCATGTGTCCACGGTAAGACAGACTGTCTACAAATGGAGAAAGTTTAGCACTGTTGCTACTCTCCCTAGGCGTGGTCGTCCTGTAAAAATGACTGCAAGAGCACAGCGCAGAATGCTTCTTGAGGTGAAGAAGAATCCTAGAGTGTCAGCTAAAGACCTACAGAAATCTCTGGCACATGCTAACATTTTTGTTGACACATCTACAATAAGGAAAACATTAAACAAGAATGGAGTACATGGGAGGACACCACGGAGGAAGCCATTGCTGTCCAAAAAAAAAATATTGCAGCACGTTTGAAGTTTGCAAAAGAGCACCTGGATGTTCCACAGCACTACTGGCAAAATATACTGTGGACGGATGAAACCAAAATTGAGTTGTTTGGGAAGAATACACAACACTGTGTGGAGAAAAAAAGGCACAGCACACCAACATCAAAACCTCATCCCCACTGTAAAACATGGCGGAGGGAGCATCATGGTTTGAGGTTGCTTTGCTGCCTCAGGGCCTGGACGGATTGTTGTCATTGATGGGAAAATGAATTCCAGAGTTTATCAAGACATTTTGCAGGAAAATGTACGACCATCTGTCCGCCAACTGAAGCTCTGCAGAGGATGGGTGCTGCAACAGGACAATGACCCAAAGCATACAAGTAATTCAACAAAAAAATGGTTTCAACAGGACAGAATACGCCTTCTGGAGTGGCCCAGTCAGAGTCCTGACCTCAACCCGATTGAAATGCTGTGGCATGACCTTAAGAGAGCGATTCACACCAGACATCCCAAGAATATTGCTACACTGAAACAGTTTTGTGAAGAGGAGTGGTCCAAAATTACTCCAGATCGTTGTGCAGGTCTGATCTGCAACTACAGGAAACGTTTGGTTGAGGTTATTGCTGCCAAAGGAGAGTCAACCAGTTATTAAGTCCAAAGATTCACATACTTTTTCCTCCCTGCACTGTGAATGTTTACATGTTATGTTCAATTAAACCTTGGCAACATCTAATGTTTGTGTAGTATTATTTTAAGCAGACTGTGTTTTTCTATTGTTGTGACTTAGATGAAGTTCAGAGCACATTTTATGACCAATTCATGCAAAACTCCACGTAATCCCAAGGGGTTCACATACTTTTTCTTGCAACTGTATGCTAAGCTTTAAAAAAAGGTATGGATGTGCAATTATTATTAAATAATTATTGGTCTGTAATGTTTGTACCAACAAACACTATTCTTGTGTAGTCCTCACCAACCTGTTGCCTTTCAGATGTCTTGGACTACAATTCCCAGGATATCTTGCCAGCATATAGTTGGAAATACATCTATAGGTTTCCAATTTAGACACTTTGTGTAGCTTAACTCATATGAATGGGAACACCACAGAAAATTAGTGTGGTGTTGTTGTGATATTTTATTTATCCCAGAAGATCCTGAGTAGTCAACTTATTGTGCAGCATTATTATGTTAAAAAAGTGCTGGAAAAAAAGTGCCTGGTATGATGGGAGGGAAAGAGCAAAATACTTTTCCTTTTTGTTTTCAGAGACGTTAGTGAACCTCCTGTTGTCTCTTGTGAAACTCTGCCCTGCAGTTTGTGAGAGTAATCATTTTGCTGTGCTGCTTGGAGCATATGGTGCAACACTGAACATTTCAGGTGAGCGAATTTTCTCTTGAGAGTGATGTTTATTAACAAAAAAGTCTAATGTAGAAGAGGAGGGGTAATCGATTGTGCATGTTTGACTTAACCATTCAACTGTAGTTCTCAAATCAATCAAGAAAACAGAAGTTAATCTTTTTAAAAAAGATTTTGTGTCTTTAAGGCCTTGAACGAAACATTCATATTTTCTGCATTTTTAAACTAACACAGCAAAAATTCGAGAAAGAAGGGCACGCTGCTTAAGACATAGCAGTAGTGATGACTGGATGGGGGCTTGTATTATGGGGTGGACTGAACCTGGAGGATATTGAATACACTTTGTGATAGGTGTTCAGGAACTTCAGTTGGACTCACAGCTTTCTGCGTTACTAGATGATGAATGTTTCCATAAAATATTAGAATTCAAGATGATGATAGGATGGATATAAAAGCTCAAAACTGAGAATAACAATAATGAGTCAAAGATGCTAGTTTTCATTTAAGCCCTCAGTGAGACACCTGAATGTGTGAAGTGCATGAAATGGAGAAAATGGGATGGGCACACACCTATCTTTAGCCTCCATGCAAATGTTATATGGCTATGTTCTTAGGAATGTTGGTTTCCCCTAGATATATGTCATTTTTACATAGTCTTTCTTTTTTTTTTTTTTAGATCAGAAGATATTATTTCTACTTAAATTATATGAAAATAATGGTCTAAGCCTTCTTGACTTCAGGTTTGTTTATACATCTTGGTCATTGTAATAGGTGAAAAATGTACATATTTTGTCAGCCTTATTTTGCTATGGTTTGCTTAATCAGAATTGGTTGAATAAACCAATATATATTGGGTTCATAAAATACATTAAGATTTAAACTATTTATAGAAAATAGTTTATATAAATATAAACTATTTACAAAGTACAAAGCTTGGGTTTACAATGCATAATAAGTCGAAATCAAGGAAGCAACATGATATATAGCCTAAAACTATAGGCCACCTGAGGCTTTCAAAAAAATTGTGATTCTCAGAAGCCTTCAAAACATTGTTATCAAACAGTAATTTTTAGTATGGCAAAATAGGAAAATTATTTAAATATGTAATGAGTCTGATCTTAATTCAATTCAATTTTAATTTTAATTAAGGCTATATGCTTACTAAATGAAATTGTTTAGTTTTTGCCTGGCTCCACCTGTTATTTTTGGAATGAAGCCTTCCCTACACCATTCAAAGTCAAGAAATATTTATACCATCTTGGAATAGTGTGATACCAGAATGGAGTCCCTATATCTACAGTCTCTTCTTAAATTATTTACTGCTGCTATAATTGCCTGTGACCGCTAACTCAAAGTACAGTAGGTAATATGAATCATCTGACTGCTCCAACTTCCTATTTGGATCGGGAAGCTCTCCTCACAGTCACTCATGCTCTTGTCACCTCACGGTTAGATTATTGCAACATACTCTACATGGGGCTACCTTTGAAGAGTGTTCGGAGACTACAGTTGGTCCAAAACGCAGCCGCGCGAGCTGTCGTGGGTGCACCTAGGTACACCCACATTACCACCAATTCTCTGCGAGCTGCACTGGCTCCCTATTGGTCTCCGGTCACAATTCAAGGTGTTGGTTATTACCTTTAAAGCCCTACATGGTTTAGGGCCAGGGTATCTTCGAGACCGCCTTCTACTGCATAACACCCAACGACCGGTAAGATCCCACAGAGTTGGTCTCCTCCGGATCCCGTCAGCTAAAGAATGCCGGCTGGCGGGCCCACGGGGGAGGGCCTTCTCTGTGGCTGCCCCAGCTCTCTGGAACCAGTTACCTCCTGAGGTCCGGACCATCCCCACCCTATTGGCCTTCCGAAAAGTGGTGAAGACCTGGCTTTTCCGGCAGGCCTGGGGCCGTTGATCTCGCTCTTGTGATCCAGCGAGATCCGGCCATGAATGGTGTGAATGAGTTTTAATGTTTTTAATTTTTAAATGTTTTTTATAATGATTTTAAATGCATTGTGAGCCGCCCTGAGTCTTCGGAGAGAGGCGGCATACAAATTGAATTAATAAATAAATAAACTAGAAGCAGCAGAAATGCAGAATGGGACCTTCCTTACCTGCCATATATGTGCAAGGACAGATAAGATAATAAAGTTGTTTTATTTGGTAGGAAAATGGCACTTTGCTTTCTGTTTGCTTTGCATGCCTTCAGATACTGGTACTTGGCTATGGGTTTCATTATAAACTTAATGAACTGGTAAATTCAGGGACTGCCTTTTCTTCTGATCATTCTCCCAATTTACTTCAATGATCAAGAAACACTGTTATATAAATATTCTTCCCATAAGAGATAAAGTTCTAGGACAGATGCTTGTCATCTCTCCTGGTTACAAAGTGGTCAAGAATATAATGGTAGCACTTAAATATCTGGATCATCTTGCCCCTGGGACAAGCAATATTTATGATAGCTAGAAATATTGTTGGAATATCTCCCCTGTCTTTGACATATTTTTCTGAATCATTAAAGAAGAACATCTTGAAGGCAACAGTTTGAGTTCTGTTCTAAAGCTTTTGTTTGATTAATTAAAAAACAACATTGTGGCTATGAAAAGAAGCCTTCTGCTGACAGTGATTTTTGTTGACACACTTTGCAGGAGTCAAGACTTTGTAAAAATAATTCACTGTGATCTTCTCTCTGCAATTTACCAAAACGAACAGAGTGGACTAAATGTCATTTCATAATGGTTTAATTTTGTTTGAAATGGCTTAGGAAGGGAAAGGAAACACATTCTTGTAAGAAGTGGAGGCAAAAGCTAGCCTTATTCTACTGTTAATAAGCTGATTAATATTTTAATTGCTATCTTCTCTTCAAGTACAACATAAAAACACATATTTTTCTACTGGTAAAATTCTAGAATATTGCTTTGGGGTCCAGCTGCTGTGGAGCATCATAAAACATGCAAAAGTTTGGGGAAGTCACTGTGGCAGCAACCAAGCATGCAAGAAATTATGTGCCTGCTGGATCGAGAAATAATGATGAGGACCATACTCCACTTCCCCCAGGATCGGCGTCTTCTTTCCCCGGAGGTGCCTTGAACTTAACTGCAGATTTTTGTTCTTTTTATATATAATTTAACTTGATGCTCAGGGATTACGCATCAGATACCTGTTCAGGATTTGTTGTTTAGTTTTGAGCTGACTATTGAAGAAACAGTTAAAATGTTTTTGCAAAAAGAAAAATCAGTCAAGCCAACATGTAGCAGTAATTTCTAAGTTTACAGGTGGTCCTCAACTTATAATTAGTCATTTAACAACCATTCACAGTGGTGATGGTCTTGAAACAGGTGCTCTATGGCCCATAAAGCACTTCTACTGTCGTAAAACATTGTGTAGGGCTCCCCCAATCACATGATCATATTTCAGCCCCTTGGCAACCTGTTCTAATTTATAACCAGTTGCCAAAGTGCCCTGTGATCACAATTTATACTCTTTTCTCTGACCTTCCCCAGAACGTTAATAGGGAAGCCAGCAAGGAAGGTTGCTGATGGGAGGGGGGACATTGAATTCCCTATGACAGGGGTCCCCAATTCCTGGGCTGCTGCCCACTTCAGGGCTGTGGCCAGTTTGCAGCTGGGCCGCGGAAAGCGTCAAGCAAGCTCACATGCTCAACTCCACTTGCACAAATGGAGCTGTGCACACGCATGTGTGTACCCGCCACTCAAACAAACATCCCCTCCCCCCCCAGGCTGCCAAGCCAGAAGGGTTGGAGACCTCTGCCCTACAAGCACTGAGGAGTTTCCCCTCCTTTCTGTGCAAGGTGGAGCAAACCTTCCATGTGCTGAAGGAATGGACCTCAAATCTGGCAAAAATGCTAGTGAATGCTAGCATTCTGCGCCTTTCAGAACGCTTTCTTTCCCCAGAGGGGAAATTCCTTGGTGCACTGAAGGAATGCACTTCAACTCTGGTGAAAAAGTTAGCACATGCTATCTTTCTCATCCTTACTCTCCTTGGTGGGGCAGGCAGAGGGCCCTAGTCACCTGGATATGGTGGGAGGCCCAAGGCCTCTCCCTGCCTCATCCTGTCCAGGAGGCTTGAGCTCTCTCCCTGGCACTTTGCATAATGACCCATGTGATTGCTTAACTGGGCAAGCCAGAATTGCAGTTGTTAAAACGTACATATAGCATAGCATCTCTGTTGACAATCGCTTTGCTTAACAACTGAGATTCCAGACCCAATTATAGTCATAAGTGGAAGATTAGCTGTACGGGTTTTTTTGCAGGATTTGTATGGTAGGTTCAGAGAAAAAACAACCAAGGGACCTAAAATCCAAGAAGCAAATCAAAATTCAGGCATGCATTCTTTTATGTTTTTCATTTTAGGAAGAACATATGTTCCAAAGCAAAGGGAAAAGTGATGTGGCTTTTGAAGATCTCTATGATCCATGTTTTCTTCTCCAGCTATTCAGTGAATTATTAAGGCCAGGTATATAAAGTGATTGTCTTGCATTGTCTGGAAGCATTCAATACAATACGAACTTTTGGACCAGTCTTTCCCAGTCTGGGCCAGTAATTGGCTGACTGCTGTTCCAAGAGTTTCAGCATTTGGGGAGGGCTTTATATTGGGGAAAATAGTATAAACACTGTTTTCACAAAAAATGTTTGAGTTCTAAACTTGTGAGATCTTAAGACGGGATCTTCCACAAGTTCTTAGGGGCAGCTACCAGAAAACCTGCTGAATCAAACAACCTTCTTCTTGGTCAGCATGAATTTGATTTTGTCGTTTGATTTGGACTTTTTCTGAAGTGTCTCTTTTTGATTAAGGGGATTTACATTTCCTTGTCTGAGTTAAAAGAAAAACTGATTTATGCTTGAGAATATTTTCCAGCTGTTTCTGATATTGTTCTCAGGATAAATATTATATTGGGGTAACTGGCTTTTACTTATCCAGCAGTAGTAGGATCTAAAAGAGTTGATTAATTAGAAATATGATTGCTTTGAAAGAAAGAGCAAATGTCTATAATGATCACAGATAAAATAATGCTTTAAGAAAAATGGCAGTTTTGTGTATTCTACGATCTTTTAAAATAATATATCCCAGAATGAATGGAGTTACCTTAATGTTTTTTTTTTAAAAAAGCTTCCATTCAGAGTCACTAGCTGATTTTCAACAGAGAGCAAGTGGGGCAGAAGGGGACCTGAGGTCGTAATTTCTGTATTTCATCCCCAAAACTATAAAAGGATTTTGAGGAAAAGAAAAAAGCGGGAGTATTTCACAGTTTGAAGCCCTAATGAAATCTACTAATTCAATTATTTTGTGATCACAAAAAAGAGAGAAAATGTTTAATAGAAAAGAAATTTAGGTAGCTTCAACATTATAATTACATTTAACAATTTAAATATAATTCAATTTTTCTTTCAGTTTTATCTTTGTTGTTGTTGTTGTTCCATCCCCAAGCTGCTTTTTGGAGGGTAGATCCTATGTGTATCTGAAGGGTAGCTCTCAATCAGAAAAGTTCATTAAGTCAATGGAGAAACACGAGGCCACATTTTCCCTGAACAGAATGATATTTTGTTATCTTTGGTGACTTACTATTTCCTTATCTACATTCTTTTTTTTTTCTTTTTTGCCTGGTGTTTTTGATATCGTTGTAATAGGTTTTGACTTTTCTCTTTGCCCCCAAGATACTTAGTGCTAAAAAAAAGCAGTTTTTGTCTCAAAAATTTCCTTTTATGTTGTCAAATCCAGAAGTCTACTGACTTCCCTTTTGTCTCAGCTGTATCTTCTTTCTACAAGTCTTGTTTAGGTTCCTTTGTGTTTTTGTGGCATCTGCTCTATGCTGTTCAAACCGAGGATTCCATTGTATGTCCCGCATGCCTTAATACTTCCTTTTTTCCTGCAGATACAGTTTTAAAACAAGCTCATTTCATGAATCTTTTGACTACAGAATCCTGCAGGACAGTTGAGCATCCTTAGCTATGGATGTGGGCCAAAGGACCCATGTTTCTTTTTTTTTGTGGTGTTATAACAACACTGTGAGGCAAATGTTTAATAATTCTCACCATTTTAAACCATATTATTTTTAAAAAAGAGAAATATATGGCAGTTTCCAGAACTGATTATTGTATCAGCAGTTGTTTACTTAGCAGCCATCTTTCCAAGGTTCTGTAAATAAGCTCTGTGTTCAACATAAATTAAAGCTACATTAGCAACTAATTCTAGCTGGCAAGGTCAGGGTTTTTTGTACGTTTCTTTGTATGTCCTAGACCTATTTTCATATTAATCTTCAGAAATTTCATGTAGACCTTGCCCATAAAAAGGTTTTATCCTTGACAGAATGTGTCTTTTTATAAAATGGAATTGGGGGATTAACCAGAACTGCTTTTCATTCTGCTTCTGTCCTCACAATTGCAGTGATTTTCATTAGACTTACTGTTCCACAAACATATGTGTACTAATCGAATAAAAATTCAAATCCTTCTCACAGGATACAAAGAAAAGTGTAGTAAGAGATAACTACTCTGTTTTTACTGGCCATGAATATGCATTCTGATAGAGGTGAACTGAGAAAAAGGGAGGAAAAAAATGGTATTTATACCAGAATGTAGAATCCATTAGAAGGGTACAGTAGGGATCCTTATATGTGAGGAGAACTTTAAGGTAATTCAACTTTATACAGGAGAGAGCAACAGAGAAGACTATTTTTCTAATGAGACTATCATTAATTCTGCTGGTGATTGTTGTGATTTTAATATGTGCATTCAGATTTTATTTTCTTAAATTATTTTTGAAATACTTTCTTATTAAAAATGCATACTTCTTTTCTTCCTGTTTTGTAGAATGTGTGGTGGCATGTCATAAGTTTGTTGAAGTCAATGCATTGGGCTTGACAGTAGCTGCTCTTAGCAGCTATGACAGTAACATGCGTGCAGCTGCCTACCATGTCCTGAGTTCCTTTCGCTCTCATCTGGAAGTGGCTCGGTTTCGAGAACAGAAACAGGTAGAGATGAGTTAATTTTTGTACCACTTAACAGAAAAATAAATTTTCTGGATTAAAATGAAATCCATTCTAGTCCAGTAATTTAGAATATCTTGATTGTTAATTTTTTAAATTAAATCCAATCTGGAATCATGATTAGAATGCTTATTTTTCTCCTCTGTTAAACATGAAAATGTTTTAGAGCACTTTGTAATTTATCTGTCTTCCTGAAATTTGAGGTTATGTATGAATCAATAGGTAAGTGAATCGAGATTCGACCAGAAGCGTCGCAGCGAGACAGTCTGGGAATTAGCGGGCTCTAATGAGCTCCGCAGAAACCCGGACTGACGAACCGCCGCCGAGGGGTCTTCGGACCAGAACCGTCCTGTAGGGACGGGGAAGAAGGAGAGGCACCTCGGAAGACCAAGAGGAATAGGCAAGTTCCTTGAAGGTCAGAGGAATCTCTCTCTGATTTGGCAGTGGAGGCGGCAGCCATTACGTCTGTCAAGAAGCTGGGGCAACCGGACTAAGTATTGAGCAGGAGCGGTGAAAGTAACGGAATTTTTGAAGCCGGGTGAGTGACAGCCAATCCACAGGCGAGATAACAACAACAACAAAAAATTATTTTGAAACCCCCAGCGTAAAATTAGTGGCTAATGGGCACAGGGGAAGAAAAGAGAAAGCAAGCGGAATTTAAAGGGACAAACCCAAAAAGAAAATTGATTTTTGAATAAAATTAATTGGAAAATTTTAAGAATTAGAAGAAACAACCCCAAAATTGGCTAAAGGGTTGGAACGAAAATAAATAGATCCTTTCTTGTTGAAAACTAAGAAAAATAAAACAAAAGACAATTGGATATTAAGCTCTGCAATAGAAGTGCTTTATATCTAAAAAAAAGGGGGGGAGCATTGTTTTAATTTGGACTGGACTATAAAATTGATTTGGTATTTTCTGAGTTAAAAAGAAGTAAAAAAGAAGCTAGATTGTTAACAAAGATTGCTACAAAATGGACACTGTTAAACAATTAAGAGAATTGTGGATTCTAGAGAGACATCTTCAGGAGAAAAAAGAGTACTGCAATTTGGAATTTTTGTTTTGGAAAACTTTGAATCATATTAGTGCTGGCCGTGAGAACTTTTGGGGAGGATTGCTTTGTTTGTAAGCGGCCTGACTTTGGGAAAACAAAAGGAAAAACAACGGAACTTTTGAATCTGGAACAATACTAATACAGAAAGAATAAAATGGCACAGGAAATTAGAGAAATAATGGAAATGCCATATTTGTCATGGAAAGCGGAAATAAGAGGAATAATTACGATGCTATAGGGAGAATTGAAACTTGAGGATCCAAAAACTGAGAGAGAGCATGTTCAAGCTGACAAAGAAACAAAGACGGAGAAGCAAGACACAGAGACTGAAAACAAAAAAGAAGATAAAGACAATGAGATTAATTTTGGAAAATTAATTGAATATATGGATAGTAATAATAAAAAGGTGGTTTTTAGAGATTACATTGGGATTAACAATGAAAAAACAAAAAAGCAGAAAGAGTCAAAGAAGGAGAGAAGGGAGGAATAAAAAGAACACAAAAAACTTAAATGATTACACTGGGATTAACAGTGAAAAGGAAAAAAAGAGAGGAAAAGGATGGGAAATGACAGGAAATGCAGGGCAAAATAGAAGAGTTCAGATTTGTGAATCACAGAATGATTACACTGGGATAAACAGTGGGATAAATAATGGAGAAATAGGAAAAGGAGAAAAGAAATAGGAAACAATGGGAAATTTAGGGCAAAAGAAAAACTCAAGATTTCAAAATACAAAAAAAAGGGGGGAAAGAAAAAGGTGAAAATAAAAATGGGAAGGGAGAAAAAGAAAGAGAAAACCATATGATTGCAAAAAAACTGTAACAATTGAAATAACTAGTATTACAATAAATTGTAATGTTGAAATACTGTATGAATTGTATAAAAATGGGAAACTTTATGATTGTAAAATGAAATGAATAACAATTGGAATATTTGTATTGTTTTTTTCTTTTCTTTTTCTTTTAAGAAATATGAATAAGTTTAAATTGTAACAATTGAAATGGATAACAGCTAGAATAATTTTAAGTTAATTATTATAATATGAAGAAAGTAGAAATGTTTAATTGTGATATACTAAAATGTTGGATTTGTATTTTCATGATATAAAATAAGCAGACTTATTATTATAAGAATTAAACTACTGTAACATTACATAATGAATCAAGGTGAGGATAGATATACAAATAAATGACAATGGGAAGGGGCAAAATATAGAATAGAAGGGAAAAACTGAATTTGATTAAGATTAAGATTAGAGGTGAGAATAAGGGTAATATTGGTTCTTAAAAAATAGATGAGAAATGAATATGGCAAAAAGGTAATATAGAAACTGTAAACTTAATTGAAATGGTCTTTTTAAAAAAATAGATGAAACTCAATTGAAATGACTAAACATTGTTTAAATTTGTGAGCCGGCCAGATACTCTGTTCAAAGAAAATACATTGTATGTTTGTATGTGTGTTTGTCTAAAAAATTTAAAAAACTTTATATATAAAAAAAAAGGTAAGTGAATCCAAGTTTGTATTAATATTCTTTATGCAATTTTTAAATTAGATTAGATTACGTTGATTTTGTATATTTAAATGCTGTGGTTTCAATGAGTGTGTTAATCTGGGATTAGGATAAATACCAATTTATTTGCAGTGGCTTTAAAGGAAACTAAATATTGTTCTATGAAAAATAGTTTTGTGAGTGCAATTAAAGGTTTCTAAATGGAATTTTAAAAAATATTTTTCCAGTTTTACTTTTTCTTTTTTTTTTTTAGTTGCTGTACCTTATGGACGTTGTGCAAAATGGAATAAAACAACCAAACCTCAAATTTACTTTCCCTTTAACCCTGTATATAGCTAGAGTTGCCCAGCAAATACTGAAGCCAGGTACTATAGAACTTTGTAGAGTTATATAAGCTAAAGGGGAATAGAACAAGATACTTCTTCTGAAGTCTCACTCCTGATTTTACCTAGTCTGGTAACGTAAGATTTGAGAATTAAATGGCAAGCTCAGAGAGCAAACCACTACAAAAACAATGGAAATATTTGTAATTCACAAAATAATGGGGCAAATGGCCATTTTCCATTTGAGATATCTATGTGATTATGTCTCCATTGGAGAAAAGTTAATAGTAGAGGGGAAAATACAGTGAAGTTAGTTCTGTGTAAATATATGTACAACAAAACAAAATAAGAAAATGAAAATGATAGTTGATACCTGTTTTGTATTACAAATTTTAGATGTTTTATGCATGAAAAATATTTTTATTGTTGAGATAAGAATATAACATAAATATAGTTATATAATGTGCTTTGTAATGAATATGAAAATATGCAGTACTTTTTCATGAGCTGTGGCGGCGCAGTGGTTAGAATGTAGTATTGCAAGCTAATTCTGCTGACTGCCAGCAATTCGATTCTCACCAGTTCAAGGTTGACTCTGCCTTCCATCCTTCTGAGATCTGTAAAATGAGGATCATCTGTTCTATGGGGACAATATGCTGACTCTGTAAACCGCTTTGAGAAGGCTGTAAAGCACTTGAAGCAGTATATAAGTCTCTGCTATTGCTATAATATTCAATTATGTCTTGTTGTTTTTACAGAAGAACATATGTACACAAGGTTGAACAGATTTCTTCTATCCCACCAGTATTTGGATTTGAGAAAAGTGCCAGGATTTTTTCACCTTTTCTATAGTTTTGATTCAGAGGTAAAGAGACTCATATGGACATTTTATGTCCAGCTATCTTTTTTTCACCTTCTTTTGCTCCATTGCTTAGCTATTACTAATCAATTACTTTCCTGCTGTTATGTTGCCATTTTAAACATGTTCTCCAGAAAGTCTCATCCTGAAAAACCTTCACAACTTTTGCATGCTTATTTGACATAAGAAAAATGTGTAATATTGTTTTATGTCCACATGCAACCAAAGGTAAACTTTCTGATAGAAAATAGATTTGATTTCACCATATATGCAGAATTATTATGAAAATCTTTGGGCATTATGGATTGCTAATATTCATTTAGTTGAATCTGCTGATTCAAAGAAAAATTGGATAAAATTAGTTGTAATTACTAACTTGTAAGCGGAAAAATACCTGCTAGTATATCTGGAATTTAATTGGTTCAACTGTGGTTTAAGGATTTCTTTTTCTTTTTTTTTCTTTTAGTCTCCTTTTTGAAGTACATCTGTTGCCTGGACTCAGCATTCTCTCTACATGAAAAAGAACTGTAATGTAATTTTGCTTGATCCCTTAATGATGCTTTATGCATTTTCTTTGTTTTCTAGCACAAAATGGAGCGTGAATGGGTTCTAGCTATTATTGGAGATGGTCTCAGAGATAAAAACTGCTATCAGCTGTATGATTATCAAAGAATTTTCCATGTCATTCTGTCCTTCTTCCATAGCCCATTGTGTGATGAAGCAACACAGGTAAAACTCTTCTAAAAATAAAATGGTTTTTATTTCATTCAGAGCAGGAATGGCATTTACACTTTTATCCCAAGATGTCAATCTGAGTCTGTCAGTGTAAATTGAACGCTTGCCTATACATTCTGTAATAAATGTAATATCTGAAGCAAAAAAATATAGAGACTTACTAAATGTTATTGCATTCAGTTGGATTTTTCAGTTTAAGAGAGATTTTAAACTCTGATGCAGAGGGTTGCCATTTCTGTGAAATGCTGTGGAAGATGGCAGAGAGAAGCCACTAGGAGAAAGAAGCAAGTTTGAAAGGTTACCACCTTTCCACTCCTGTTTGGAATAGATCCCTTTGGAGCAAAAAACTACCTTAAGTAGAAGAATATAATTGAATGCAACTTCAAATTAGTCTGGATGAGAATATAGAATCTGCATGCTGACATTATTGCCATTTGCATTTTTTGATGTATGATGGGCAAATTGTGTATTCAGGTATAGAATTTGTACAACACAAAAATAGACCAGGAAACAGAAAAACTTCCAGAAAGCCTAATCTGACATGGATTTACCAATATGTTTGGGTACACACACGCGCACACACACACATACATATTCTTCAATTGTTGTAGTCTGCCTGAGAATTCATTATCCCAGACTCTTGCATATCTATCTAGTTGCCCTATATTGGCTCCTCTCTTAGTTGGTATGATTACTCTCACAACTGAAATTCAATCTAGAAAATTTAATGAACACTGACAACTACAGCAACATCACTTTATTCTCCTCCCTAGGAAGTTTGATAGTATATGAACACAGATAATATGATAATTAGTATTTCTCCAAATACTCCAGCTCTTACAATTAGGGTTGAATTGTAGCCACTATTACTAAATCATTAGATGCTATCCGGATCTATAACATGGTGCTAGAAAATTCCCTTTTATCATCTTCTTTTATTAATAGTATTGTTTGTTTTGTTTTGTTTTGTTTTGTTTTGTTTTGTTTTGTTTTGTTTTGTTTTGTTTTGTTTTGTTTTGTTTTGTTTTGTTTTGTTTTGCTTTTCAGAATCAGATTCTGGAAATACTTCAAAATGCTGCCTACATCACTAAAGCTGCTTATGAACTAATAAGGGACCATAGCCTTTTAACCTGGCTGTTATCTGTTATTGAGAAGAGGTACACATTGCCTTTCATAGATGCATGTTTCCTTCTTCATATTTAGATTTTTTGATATAATTGAATAATAATCAGAAAAATGACATGTAAGTTTATTAAAAGCTTAAGAAGTACTTCAGGGTCAAATAAAAACTCAATTCAAAATATGCCACCTCTTTTAAAAATATCAGACTTCACTTAAAGCAAAATGACTTACTCAAAATTTTATTTGAATAAAATCTGAAGAATGTAATATTATCTGAAGACTGTAATATTGTATAATTGAAATTAGTATAAAAGTAACTCTGGTAACTAGTCTTGTATTATTCAGAATGCGACAATGCTTGGAAGTAACTTTTTAAAACCAAATTGTAAGGGCTAATATTAAATTTATATAAAAGAAATTGAATTCAGATGTTCCAACTATTTTGTCAGTTCCTAAAAATGTGAGCTTTTATAATGTAAAAACATATAGTAATAAAATTAAATGTTTCCTGAAATACTTGTCTTTTTTATATCTAGGTTTCTAGAAAACAAGTTGTTAATACGTATAATCTCCTTAATCAATACTCTCTGGAAAACTAATTTAGGAAATAAGCAAACTTCACTCAGTTCATCTAGCCAATTAAAAGAATTAAAAGAGAACCAGAAATTCCTTCCCATCCAGCTTATTAATGAATTTCTCCATGTTCTGCTCACACTTCTTAACCACATCAGGTAATTATTATCTATTTTTAAGGTATTGTATTGTTGTACTGCTTTGGCATATACTTTTCCTTTACAAAAAGAATTACTTTTTCATTTTAAATAAGAGTAATATTTGTCATCATCATAACCTAGCCCAGTCTAGGCAGCCATTAATATTTTCTGCTGAAGTCAGGCCTGTCTTCCGTAATTCATGCTTTGTATCATTTGGAATTTCTATCTCACATTGCTACTGATTTAGGAGGCTTTTCTTAAGGTTGTTTCACACTAGTTTGGATCCTGTTAGCAGAACTGAATATAGAGGTATCGACTACATACGTTCTTTTGAGCCTTTGTTTTAGGTGGGCTTTTGACCTATCTAACCCCAAATTGCATTGGTTAACGATTTAATATTCCTAGATCCAATGGATCTTAATAACCCACGGCTTGGTCTTGGTAGGATTGAGTCAAAGTTGGTTGCCCCACATCCAGGGAGCAACAGTTTCAGAAGCCATAAAATGTGATAAGTCATTGGCTCCAAGTCACATTTTATACTAATTTTCTTTAAGATTAATATATAGGTACAACATTATGTCATATTTGTAATGTTTTTCAATAATGTATAAATTATTCATCAATTTCTTGTTTTGCTTCATTCAGGAATGAGATTAACCATTTGGTGCCTAACAAAATCAACACAGAGCAGTGAATTATATTGTGCATAATGTGAGATGATATAAATATTTTGTCCTAATTTTGTCCCCTGTCTTCTGCTAAATAGAACCAACTTGGATCCTGTTGAGTTTATTCAGTTTTTCAATGTATTAAGTTCTGTATTGGAATACCGTACTCTGGTTATTGAAGCCTTCAGAGAAATGGGCAGATTCATTGTAAATGAACATATCCTTTCAAACAATGATGTGTTGATACTTTTGTACAAGTGGAGTATAATTAGCAAAGATATGGAACTTCAGGATGACCTGCATGTTGTTGCACAACAATATCAAATCAAAGAATTGCTTAGTAAGTATTCTCAAAGTACTTCAGAGAGTTGCCATGTAATATTAATGTCTAGATTCAGCAAATGCTGTAAAAACAGCCACTTATTCTGAGATCAAAATAGATTCCTGCATTTGTAATAACTCTCACAAAACAATATGTTGTTTGCCAGATGAGTTACACTAGAATATTGAATTCAGCAGGCATATATCTGAAAATATCTCCTTGATTCATGATGGCAAATTAATTTGAATATCTTCATGCTCAGCCTCACCGAAAGTCAGTATCAAATGGTTTTTATATAACACAAAGGCATTGGAAATAGGGACATCATCAGTTGTTTTGGTTTGTCAAAGATTACCTCAGGAAATGCAATCCCTAATGAAGGAGGAATGACTGAGGAAAAACTGTAAGGGAGTTAAAATACTATGAAAATATGTAGGGATACAGTGTATAAACAGCTTTATATTGTGTAATGTGAACATGTATCTGATTCTGTTTAGCTAAACTGCTACCGTTGATGTTAATTTTAAAGACGAGTATAAGCCTTTGATGCATTTGATAGAGATATTTTTGCTGCACAAAATGGGTGCTGTTCCAGAGATCTTGTTAGATATGAATTAACATTTGCTTTTAATAATTGAGGTGCCATAGTTAACTTGCTGGTATTTATTTAATATTAAATCTGCTACTTTTTGAGGTAATTAGCATACTCACTAGGAAGTTAATCTGCATGACAACATCTGTCAATTCATCTCAGCCTTAGTACTGTTTAATTATTCAGTGATTGACCTTGTTTCATTGTTTATAAAAGGGGTTTTCCTTTTATCTACTTCAGGAAATACAGACAGGAACAAACCACGATTACATTCTCAAGCATCAAACCGACTAGCTCAGAGAAGGAGTAAAATTGAAATAGAGGCAGCTGCAATCTCTGTATGGAAAGAAGTTTATTTAAATGAATGTAGAACTCTTCTGAGATCCATTTTTATCCACTGGGAACCTGTTTTACTGGAAACATCAGCAAAATCTCCAACAGAACAGAAAGGATATAGTAATCCAGATCTTGCCTGCAAGATTGCTTATTTAGTATTTAGATGGCTTGTGACAGCTTTCCTTGATAGCAACTTGAACATTCAGAATGCACTCCTGACTTTCTGGTGGTTTAAAAAATGTGGTTTTGGAAACAACATTATATTGGATTATATTCTTACAGACGGAACCCTGAAAAGGGCTATATTTAAGCTTTATAGTAGCATCTTTAGTGCCTCTGAAGTTGTGAAATTGAGTGAGCTCTCTGTGGTTAATGGAATCATGCTCCATCTACTAGAATCTCAGGGCCTGACAGAAAATAATTTTCATGGGGCTGTGAAAAAATTCTGCCTCACTGAAGTGACAAAAGTGAACAAAGGTAACTTTTTTTTTAACACAAAAAATATTGTCCTTTCCCTACATGTTGCCTTTGACATATGCTAAACTTCATGTCTATTAACTTATAGTTACGATTAGAAATCAAATTGAAAAAGGCTGTTCTGCTTCATGAAACCTTGGAATTTGCTATATATCATAATAGATTAACATTTCCAGAAGATGGGCTATGGTCAAGGGCAAATAATAGTTCAGAACATTGGGTTTTAGTATATAATTATCTGTAATATCCAAAAGGTGAATTGGACTTTCTTTGTTTTTCCTTGAAGACATTTCGCTTCTCATCCAAGAACTTCAAACCTGAAGAAGCTTCTTGGATAAGAAGCAAAATGTCTTCAAGGAAAACCAAAGGAAGTCCAGTTGTCTTTTGAAAAAGCACCTTTGGGACAACCACAACCTGGATGACTAAGAATCTCCATAGTTATTTTTAATATCATTTTAAAAAGTACAGTAATGTTTAACAGTTTGAGTCTTCAAGTACTGCAGTTTTTCTGCTATTTTTAAGTCAAGACAATACAATATTTCTAGTAGCTATTCAAATATTAATTTTGGGGGACTGAGGTTATAACTGGAGTGGGTGAGTTCTACTGGAAAATGAAATGTTCATGGTAGATCTTTTGAAGACTAAATTAAATCTATAAATCAGATACTCAAATACTAATAACTAGGAATATCTAAACTAGGCATGTCCAACCTGCCAGATACAGATAGCATGTAGCCCTGGACAGCTAGTAATGCACCCCCACAAGACCATAAAGTTTTATGTTTATTATGTGATTTATACACATTGACTATATTATACATTTTATGTGTGGCCCAAGAAAATTTCTGTTCATTCAGTGCAGCTCAGGCAAGCCAAAAGGTTGGATATCTAGTATCTAACCATTCTCAATGCAAGTCATTCCCAGTACAAAACAAACCAAAAAGTCTGTTTCAATCAGGGTAGAAGTATGCTGGGAGAAGCACATGAGAAGCCAAGACATCAATAGCTGAAAGGAGGAAAGCTGATGGGGACAGTTCTTGGGTGGCATGATGGCACATGTCATACTGGGACATCAACTGAGGCTGAGAAGGGAAGGTACTGGGAAAATTGAGGGGTAGACCAGAGGGATATGCTATGTTGGGATTTGCTAAGAGGTGAAGGGACAGAGGACAGCATATATAACTCCCTCATCTAAATTTTGCTTTGTATAAAACCAAAGTGTTATGGGTTTTGGCCTGCCATACCATGACAGAATTTCAATCATAGGATAGGTTCTTTCAAGTTTGAAATAAAGTTGTTTTCCCATGTTATGCATACCCCTTTTGTAATTATCATTTTCTTTTTCCTTAGCGGCAAGCATTTTCCTTACTTCAATTTATATTGGAGATATTTGGCTAGGAGCAAGGCAACCAGACATGTTTATGACACACATTAAACTAATATGTGGAGCAACCAATACTGAACGAAATGACAAAAAAAGGTTGGAATTTGAAGATTCGATGGTTTCTCTCTGCAAAGACATATACTCATTTTTAAGTCTTCATTGTCATATGCAGTCTTAAACTCAAAAATTTGTCAACTTTCCTATCTTGAAATTAAAAAATAAAATAAAAAGAACTATTGCGTACAATTCTACAGGAATTGTTTCAAAAACAGTGTCTATTTTCCTATTAAGAGTAGTACAATTGTATGTTATAATAGGCATGATTTCAAATAAACTTATATTTTTTCAGAATTTGGCAAAGCTGGTTTTAGATGCTATTTTTGTATATTATGTTAAACTGCTGGAAAAAGTAATGAACAAAACATTGATTTGAAGTTAATAATTTTGCAGTAAAGTAAACATAATGTTTACTGTTGTGTGAAATAAATATATCCATTAGAGTTGTGTATGCTTTGAAAATGGTTTTAGAAGTAATGTTTTGTTATATGTAGAAATAGAGACAGTCCCATTTTAAAGCAACTGTAGTTCTTTTCAGGCTTCTGTTTTAATAAATCACATTAAAAGGTGAAGTTGCTTTAATGGGGTTATCTTTTCAAAAACAGTATCTTTGTATCAAGTTCATCACACAGAAGCCTGAAAAAAAATATGACAAAGAATATTTTTCTGAATTATTTTTGAAGCATGCACATCCCTAGCATATATATATATATCCGCACTCCAAGGGAGTTTTTCCTTTTCTGAAGCTTCTGAAATGTTCATAAGAAGAATAACCAATGTTTGAAATAGTTTTCTTGAATCATATTACTGCATAATGATTTCATGTGTAAATACTGTAACTACTGTTGAGTATTTATTTCTTGTCAGAATACTATTCTGTTTTAGAAAGCTTATAACTGGGTCCATATTGTGAAATAAAAACCTCAAAATAATACTTATGCAGAAATTGCTTCAGCTAAATGTGATTTCTCAACTATAAGAAGCCATTCGTTTAATTCAAAGGTACATAATGCACAGGCTTCATACAATCTCATATCTGGATCCAGAAACTGGCTGAAAGAAAACAAGACCACAGTAGTGTCAGGGTTTATACTTTCTTTTGTTTTGTCATGTTACCAGGCTAGTCTGTCATATTCATTTACAAGAAATTGTCTGCCACATTATTTTGCAAAAATGCTTAGCTATTTTCTGTAAGGGTGTAATGAAATCTGACTTTATTAGCTGTTATGAATTAATATGTTATATTTATTATATTTATTAACATATAATATTAATATTTTTGAGAAAAAAATAATAGAAGAAAAAAGGGGGCCAAAAACACACACCATGAAGTGAATCATAGGAATTTACAAGCAAATCAAATTGGCTAAAATGAAATTTATTAAGATAAACATTTTCAACATTAGATTTATATAATTGAGTATTCTACGTAGTTTGAAAAATTGCAAGTTATATTTAAAATCAAAATAATATATGAACAGCAGTAAAATCAATACATTATAAATCATAAAGTAATATAAATAACTATAATAATTTCTGTTCAAACAAATCACTGAAAATTAGAATATTATCACTTGAAATTTTAGATATGGTATAAACTCATATATGGTATTATAATCCTTAAATGGTTCCCAAGTTGAATTACATTCTGCGTCAGATTTACTTTTGAAAATATAAAAGTTATTTTGGACATAGAGTTATACTCCTACGGGTTAATTAGCCATTCTTCTGAGAAAGAATTCTGTGTACTTTCCTATCAGAAGTGTAAAGAGTTCTTGCAGCAATTAACATGTACAAAGCTGCTCCAGTGTACTTTGTGGGGATATAAGCTTTGATAATATTAAATTGGTTGGAAAGGAAACTAAGCTTTTATAAATTGTTTCAATCCATTAGAGAATGGTTTTCAACATGGTTGAGCTGTGCAACATTGCTACCAAATATGGAAAAATGATCCAACCCGATTATTAGATTTCCAGTAATTCTTAGAAAATGAATTATATCTGTCATTGTAAAACTTTGCCCAACATTATACAACACTATTGTATATTTTACATTACAGAAAAGAAAAAATATTTTTGATTTTTTTTTTGTAGTAATGCTGCTTTCAATACATGATATATTCTATTCAGATAAAAGGATGTGCAACTTTAATGTTGCATATACATACATACACAGAAATCTTTGTATTTTATAAAGTGAATAATTTATAATACAGAGCCACTGAATTTTGTTCCACTGAATCTCAGGCATAACTACTTTTTAATTAGTCTTAAGTAATGTTCAATCACAACTTATTTGCAATTAGGACAAAAGTCATTCTGCAGATTCAGCCAGGTTTTTTTTATATATAAAAATCATGTATTGTGTAAAAATAAAAGTAATGTAATATTTCTAGTACTAATTCAATAGAAATCTGGTTCTGGTTTGTTCAATTTCCTGAATGATTTGAAGCATGACTTTTAGCTTTTAATCTGTATATATAATGTTAAAACGTTGTTTTATCTATGTATAACTCATTTGCTTTTTTTTTTTATAAATTAAATTGTAGATTTCATATTTTCTGGTAAATCTATCCTTTTGTATTAGATACTACAATGATTGTTATATAATGAAAAAGCCAAAGTATTTTTTTAAAGAAGAAATACATGTTTTTTTACATTGGTATTCCTCCTAGCACATTATACTATATTATATGTAGTGGGCTTCATATTTCATTTGTGAGAAGGTTTTACACTGAATTGTCCATATGGTGACATGGTAATCTATTACTTGAACAGAGCCCTTCAATTTCTTCTCCTTGGTTATCTACAGATGTTCATACAGTGTCATTGTTAACAAGATTTTGATGAATAGTTTCTGAATAATTCCATGGAAACTTCTTTGATCCTCCAGTCCTGGAAACAAAATTGCTAAATTAAGTTTGATTATCTTTAAATTGTTATCAGGTAATATGTGAGATCAGTAATAACTGATAACCAAACGTTCATATAATAAATTTATTGGCTCAAATCATACTGAACTTTATAACAGTGAGAATTTCAACTAGCATGTTTTCAATGCTAAATCAGTTTTTAATAACAATACCTTTCTCTATAATAGTCCCAATAATGTTTATTTGGTCAGTGCCCAGTAATTCAATATTTATCTGTATGGAACTATTGCTCATTTTCTGAGAGGTTGTCAATATGAGATAGGTTATGAGATTGGCTGTCAGATCAATGTATTCAGCAAATTGATAAAACACTGCCTAAGATATACAGTATACATTCAAAGTACATATGTAGACATTCTTCCCATAAAAATTGATGCAATCTTTAAAATAAAGCAGCATTAAATTTGGCAGATCAGATTAGATCCAAATTTATTTCAATTTACTTTAATTAAAACTTTAATTAAAGTAAATTGAAATGAATAAATATGGATCTAACCTGCCAATTTTGTAGGAGGTAGGAGATTAGAAAATTTATAGGAATCTGATATGTTGCAATATTCAGTAGATACCCTTCAATATCTTTTCTTGAGATTCAACAAATTTCTTTGGTTATTGGCCACATTCCAATACTAAATGCAACATGTGATAAATTACATAAATTGCTTGGATTTATTTATTTGTATTTTTAAGTACTCTAACCATCACAAGGACTTTACCATCTTTAAGGTGTTGAAAAGTATTCTCAAAAAACTGAACTGCAAATAATTAAGAACTCTCCTATGTTTAGTTTATTATATACTTTTAAATTCAGTAATTTATTAAACATATGTAAGAGTTAAAGTCAGTCTTTTCAGTATATACCAATTTTTCTAGAGCTGTACAAACTTTATAACTAAAAAATCATTTGTAGAATAAAAGATATTTCACTCACTTCATGGATGTTGTACCAGATCGAGATATGTAGAACAAAATAAAGAAGAGAAATGCCACAAAAGAAACAAGTCCAATCCAAAAGCCTATGATAATTGAATCTGTTGAAAAATAAATTAAACTCTTCAAATGAATATGAAAATCAGCATATTTATATACAAGTAATTAATATGTCCTTTATTCTGTTTAGTCAAGAGGAGATTTTAGATTGAATATATTTTATTTAAAAAGAATAAAACATGCTTAGGATCTATTTCCTTGTATTCTAGATGTAACACTGGCCATCAAAAACCTGCCTCCATGAAGACAAGGAAGATTAAATTTATCTCCACCCATAGAATTTAAGGTTTCCCTGGTTCTCCTATCCTATCTAAAATATATCTGAAAGACTTACCCTTTCAGTTAAGGGGAATAAAATATTTATTTCTGCCTAGTGGAGAGAACAGCAGTACTTACATCTGTTGGCTTTCAGCTTACTTGCATCAACTGGAGATAGATCAAAGTAATCAAAGTAATATTCATAGTGCACAGTATAATTTGTTGAATTGGTCATTTCAGTAGTATAACCAAGGTAGCTTTGGACTCTTAATAGATCCAGCACAAAACTACAGTGTTCCCATGAAGCCGAGCTGTAATTGTGCAAATAAATTTTCATTTGACATCCTTATATAGGTTGAGATACCAGAACTATTCAGGCTGACCTTCATTTCTGCTGTTACAGCTGCCAAATGTTAAAATGACACTGAATGTCTCTTGCTTGAAGTACCAGCCATGGCCCACTGTGTTATTGTTTGTACTATAATGCCAACAGCAAACAAAATATTTTGCATCCACATCGTTAAACAACTGTTTAAATTCATTTTAGAATATCAGATGCTGCTTGTCAAGTGCATGCCTCCCAACAAGTTTGACAGAAATTTGACAAGGACAAGGATTACAGAATAGATTGTTAAAAACTTCATTTTGGGGTAGGGTTTGCCTGATTTAGCTACCTGCAGTATTAAACGTTTGAGGGGGCAGCATTTGTTGGCCCAGCAGGCTCCCCACGACTATCTGTAACACAAGTTTAGGCTTTACCACCAGTTTATTTTGCTTTTTATACATTTACGCAGTCTTTTTGTTTTAAGGGCAGGGCTGTATTATAGAATAGTACAGTCTAATGCTAGCCACGATTCAGAAGTAGACGAAGCCGGCGTCCACATTTCTCGCTCTTCAAACGAAACACGTTCAGTCTAGCAATCTCGGCTCTTAAGCCATTGCGCTCAAAGCTCTTCCACGGCGAGTCTATCAACGGAGGTCTTTCCGTCTTGAGCTACTGCGCATGCGCACAAATCCTACCACCACCCCCCCCCCCCCCCCCCCCCCCCCGCCCCGCCTTCCTTGCTTCGCGACTACTTCTGCCTCCTCTCCTCGGGAAAGAAAACGAAACAACCCTGTTGACGTGCTAGAGAGGGGCCGCCCGTTATTTCCGGTATTGAGACAAGGGAGGAAGCGGAGTTCGGCGCGAGTGGCTTGGGGGAAAAAAATGGCGACATTCCAGTTTGAAGAAAGCGCTCTGTCGGCGGTAACATTCTCTGACAATCTAGGGTCCAGTAACGAGGAAGGGCCGAGTGCAGAGGACCTGCCTATGGTGTTCCTGTGCGCCGGATGTAAACGGCCTGTAGGAGACACGCTCAACTGGGAGACTAACGACGAGGAGACCAATTGCATCCTGCTCAAGAGTCAGTGCAAAAAACAAAAACAAAAAACGCGCGCGGCTGCCTAGCAACGCTGCGCGTTCTTGGTCGAAATTCTTTTCCCGCGCGTGCGCGAGAGCCCCGTTCCATTCCTCGATGCGCGCAACGGCCTTGCCAGCCGTCGAGGCGCCGGCAAAAGAATTTCCGCCCTTGGCGTCTTGCCTTGCTCGTTCTCGGGTTGCGGTTCTGGGTTAACAAGTAACGTAGTATAGGTAATCCTCGACTTCCAACAGTTCATTTACGTGACCGTTCTGAAGAAAGTTATTTATGACCATTTTGCACACTTAACAACCTTTGTAAACCTCTCCAGGATCATGTGCCCAAAATTCAGACGCTTGGCAAGTGGTTCATATTTATGACCGTTGCTGTGTCCTAAGGTCATGTGATCACCTTTTGCAATCTTCTGACAAGCAAAGTCGATGGGGAAGCCAGATTCACTTAACACAACCTTGTTACTAACCATACTGCAGTGATTCACTTAACAATTGTGGCAAGAAAGGTCATAAAATGGGGCAAAACTCAACTTAGCAAATGTCTCATTTAACAACAGAAATTGTGTGCTCACTTGTGGTCGTAAGTCGAGGAGTACCTGAAGTCATTGTCAGCAGTGATATCTTCTAGGCCAGACTCTTCTCCCTTTCTTAGATTTGACTGCAAGATTATTTAGGGTTTATTTTTTTCTAAGAACCTGATAATGTTGGTCAAAATCCCAAACCCAAGAGAAATTGTAGTTTGTCACTGCTGCTGTTGAATTGGTGATCTTCAACAAATTTCATGATCAACAAAGCTGGTTTATCTGTTGCATATGCTGTTGAACTGCATTGTATTGGGTTTTTTTTACTCATCTTTAGTTTTTTGTTACATATTCATTTGATAACAATAAAAGAGAATATTTGTAGCTCAGGATTGAAATGAAGGGTTCTTGGTGCTTGTTTTCTTGCAGACGTTTCATTACTCTAACTAGGTAACATCATCAGTGCTAGATGTTGCCTAGTTAGGGTAATGAAACCTCTGCATAATGAAAACAAGCTCAGAGAGCACCAAGGACCCCTCATATTCATTTGAATCAGTGGTGGGTTTCAAAAACTTTTACTGCTGGTTCTGTGGGCGTGACATGGTTTGGTGGTCATGGCTTGGTGGGCGTGGCAGGGGAAGGATACTGTAAAATCTCCATTCCCACCCCACTCCAGGGGAAGGATACTGTAAAATCTCCATTTCCTCTTGATCAGCTGGGACTTGGGAGGCAGAGAATAGATGGGGGCGGGGCCAGTCAGAATTTTTACTATCAGTTCTCCAAACTACTCAAAATTTCTGCTACCGGTTCTCCAGAACTGGTCAGAACCTGCTGAAACCCACCTCTGATTTGAATGGTGGTTTTTATGCCCCCTACTCCGAATGGAATATAAGTGTTTAATTGTCAAAAGGAAAGCTTTGTTAACTTTTCCTGGCCCGAAAACTATCGTACAATCTTGACATTGCTTTCTGTGTTCTTTGGTTTATTAAAGTGGTCTGTCTTTTTATGAGAACATTTTGTTTCTGCTTGCTTTGATATGTATCTTTCACATTTCAGGTGTTACACTCAATGTCTCAATAGACAAAGAGCAAAAACTCTCAAGCCAGGCAGGTGAAACTGGCTGGTAAGTTATGATAAGAACTTCAGAATGAAAGTTATTTATTTTATTATTTTTTTATTTTATTTTATTTTATTTTATTTTATTTTATTTTATTTTATTATTTTATTTTATTATTTTATTTTATTTTATTATTTTATTTTATTTTATTTTATTTTATTTTATTATTTTATTTTATTATTTATTTTATTTTATTTTATTTTATTTTATTTTATTTTATTATTTTATTTTATTTTATTTTATTTTATTTTATTTTATTTTATTTCTATACCGGCGTTCTTCTGCGGGACTCAGGGCGGTGTACAGCCAAGATAAAACATAGCATATAAAATTTGAAAACATTTTAAAAAACAATTAAATAATTTTGGCCCGGATTTAAAACAACCCAATTAAAACCTAATTCAATTAAAAACTGAGAGGATGGGATCAAGCCAGCCCAGCTAGATGGAATAAGTGTGTTTTCAGGGCCCGATGAAAAGTCCAGAGGTCTGATATCGTGCGTATCTCAGGGGCAGGTCATTGCAGAGGGCAGGTGCTGCCACAGAGAAGGCTCTCCCCCTGGGGGTCACCAACCGGCACTGTCTGGCCGACGGCACCCTGGGGAGGCCCTCTCTGTGCGAGCAAACCGGTCGGTGGGAGGCTATTGGCGGCCGAAGGCAGTCTCGCAAATACCCCGTCCCTAAGCCATGGAGCGCTTTAAAGGTGGTCACCAACACCTTGAAGCGCACCCGGAAGACCACAGGAAGCCAGTGCAGCTCGCGCAGGAGAGGTGTTATATGTGAGCGCCCTGTCGCTCCCATAATCCCCCGCGCAGCCGCATTCTGGACCAACTGCAGCCTCCGGGTGCACCCCAAGGGGAGCCCCATGTAGAGAGCATTGCAGTAGTCCAGGCGGGAGGTGACGAGTGCTTGAGTGACTGTGCGTAGGAGTCCCGATTCAGAAAGGGACGCAACTGGCGTATCAGGCGAACCTGATAAAAAGCCCCCCTGGCCACGGCCGTCATATGCTCTTCTAAAGACAGCCGTGCATCCAGGAGGACGCCTAAGTTGCGAGCCCTCTCCGTGGGGGCCAGTGATTTGCCCCCAATAGCTAGCAATGCCACCAGCTGGCTATATCGGGACGCCAGAAGCCACAGCCACTCGGTCTTGGAAGGATTGAGTTGGAGCCTGTTTTTCCCCATCCAGACCTGCACAGCCTCCAGGCACTGGGACATCACTTCAAGGGCATCGTTGGGGTGGCCTGGGGTGGAGATGTACAGCTGAGGTCGTCAGCGTACTGATGGAACTCCACCCCAAAGCCACGGATGATCTCACCCAGCGGCTTTACATAAATGTTGAACAAAAGGGGCGAGAGGACCGACCCTTGTGGCACCCCACAAACAAGGCGCCTCAGGGTTGACCGCTGCCCCCCTGTCAACACGGATTGCGACTGGTCAGAGAGGTAGGGGAGAACCACCGCAGAACGGTGCCCCCCACCCCCAGCCCCTTCAACCGGTGCAACATGATACCATGGTCGATGGTATCAAAAGCCGCTGAGAGATCTAACAGGACCAGGATAGAGGAACAACCCCTATCCCGAGCCCTCCAGAGATCATCTACCAACGCGACCAATGCCGTTGCCCAAGCCATGCCCAGGTTCCGGCCTGGGCACAGCACGAAAGTTATAATTGACCTGTAGCAGAACTTCATGTTGCTGTACCTGATTACTTTTGATCAAAGCTTTTTTTTTGTTTGAAATGCCCATGTAGTTTAATAGTAACCATATTTAGATGCCCTACTCTTTATTTGAACCCAGCAAATTAATATTATAGTAATATTTGTGTTAAACCATTCAATATCATAATATAGTACATTGTTTTTCATTTTTGAACATTTTATCAGACCAAGTGTAAAATCAAAAGGCAAGAGGAAGGAAAATGGATGAAGAAACCCTGAATGTGTCAATAGTGGGTTTCAAATCCCAGCGCTACTGGTTTGCTATCGGTAGCGTGTAGGTACACTTGCTCGCTTCTGCGCATGTTGGTGGGCGGAGCCTCCCACCGCTGCCACTACCGGTTCACCCGAACTGGGGCGAACCGGGAACAACCCACCACTGGAATGTGTGGATAAAATCTGTAGAGATTGTATCTGTTTCTCCAGGAATTTTCAGTATTATTTGTTTCATTTGCAGAAAATTCTAAATTATAGCATGTAATTAAAAATAAATCTGATGTTTTGCTTTACAGTATTCTTGAAACCTTATTTTGCTCTGGCTGCAAGATGAAACTTGGAAATATTTATAGGTGTACCCCAAAACATCTTGACTATAAACGAGATTTGTTTTGCTTA